GTAACCTCCACAGTGGATCATGCAAGCTTAGAGCTACTCAGAAGCTGATCCTGGTTGTAGTCAGTGAGGAGGAATGAGCTGTGACTGCCACCCAGGATGTAAATAAATGACAGACCTTCCCCCCCACCCAACTTCCCTAAACTCAGGTGGCAAAAGGAGCGTGAATAGGGAGGGGGCAAAGAATGTGCACACTTGGAGCAAACCACGAGAATAAATAAACCCTCCATCGGAGCCTAGCTGTAGGCGGTAAAACCTGAAGGCTACGTCTACATGGCAGGTGTCAGAGTAGCAGCCGTGTTAGTCTGTATCCGCAAAAAGAAAAGGAGGACTTGTGGCACCTTAGAGACTAACCAATTTATTTGAGCATAAGCTTTCGTGAGCTACAGCTCACTTCATTGGATGCATAAATCTACATGGCAGTTAGGTGTGATTGCAACACACGTATCAGAGCTAGCCTTGATCGTGCCAACTCCTTAAAAACAGCCATGTAGTCAGAATGACGGGGCGGTGGAACAGGCTTGCCACCCTAGTACGTACCCAGGGTCCCAGGAGCAATTGTACTAGCCCAGCGCTTTTCAAAGTGGGGGTTGGGACTACACAGTGGGCCGCGACCCTGTTTTAATGGGGTCGCCAGGGCTGGCGTTAGACTTGCTGAGGCCAGGGGCTGAAGCCCGAGCCCCATCACCCGGGGCCAAGGGCTTCCGCCCTGGGTGGCAAGGCTCAGTTTACAAGCCCCTGCCTGGGGCTGAAGCCCTTGGGCTTTGGCTTTCACCTCCCGACCTGGGGTGGTGGGGCTCAGGCTCGGGCTTTGACTTTGCCCCCCTCCCACCCGGGACAGCGAGGCTCAGGCGGGCTCAGGCTTCGGTCCCCACTCCTGGGAGTGTGTAGTAATTTTTGTTGTCAGAAGGGGGTCACGGTGCAATGATGTTTGGGAGCCCCTGTACGAGCCCATGCTGCCACAGCGATGTTTAGCAAGCTGGCTTGATCAGCTAGCTCTGATACATGTGATGCACTCATATGCACTGTAGACATCAGGGTCAAACCATCCTATTGACTTTAATGGAGTATAGACTATCCAGACACAGAGTGTGACTGAAATCAAAGACCTGGGCATGGCTGTGGCTGACCCAGGCTCACAGAATTGCAGTGGAGATGTTTGGGCTCAGGCTGGAGCCAGGACTCTGAGATCTTCCCCCCTCGCAGGGTCCCAGAGCCCAGGCTCCAGCCTGACCCCTAAAGTCTACACAGCAATTTTACAGCCCCACAGCCCAAGCCCTGCAAGCCCTCATCACCTGTGCCGGGCCAGCCGCGGCCAGGCCACGTGTCTTTTATGCCAATGTAGATGTACCCTAAGGGTCAGATTCTAATGCCTCTTACTCATATTAGATAGATTCTTACACCACAAATGGCTTTAAAGGTACCACTCAACAGGAGCAAGAGTACAGAATGTGGCCCAACAAACTACTTCCAGAGCAAAGTCAGAGTTTAGGGGTGTTTCTTAAAGCCCCAGCTCCTGGAGTCTGGTGATTAAGTGAGAATTTCAGCTTTCCTTTAAAAAAGAAAAGTAAGTTTCTAGCTTGAAGTCGTGACCCCATAAAGGCTACAACACTAGAGGACCCACAGAAAGGGCCCAAAATTTATTATCCAAAATTCTTATGATTTCTAAGCAATTCTCGTGATTTTTAGGAGCTTGACTCAGGAGTTTTAACACTCCAGGTTGGCAGTACTGTGAGGCGGCACACACCGAGTGAGGGATCAGAATCTGATCCGAAACTGTTAGTGCATCGCTCCTGCAACTTGATCCCTAACTGAGACAGGCCTTCTCCCTGCCTGCCACAGCCAGCCTGGTCTAGAGCCCACACATAGTAAAGTCAACACGGGGCTCTGTGTCTCTGTCCAGTCATTGCAGAGCTGTAACTACTACATGGAGCTGTAGGGGGGATACATTTGGCCTTACACTTCTTACCAAGCTGTGATCTCTGACACATCCAGTTAATGAACCCGCAGGGGATGAGACATTTCCTGTCTTGTCCAGCTAGATTAGGCTCTGTGGGTTTCCATATTTGTCAGTCCTATGTGGTCAGGGTGAGCTGCTGTTTCCTACCCAGAGTAATACCGGTAAAACTTTAGCTTTAAGTTTAACATCGAAAAACAATACAATCCCAAGCTGTTCCTTTACATGGGAGGAGCAGGATCATATGGACCATTATGGTTATTAATTATTGGCCTTGCCTGCATCTTAGACCTGGTCTCCTTTCCCATTCCCTCCCCGCTCTGGCTGCAACACCAGTCCCCATACCTTCCCCCTCACCCTTTATTTTCTTCTCCCGGGCATCTCCGTGTTTTCCTCTATGCCCTTCCCACCCTGCACCATCATGAGACAGACTTTGGTTCTCCACTGCACCCCATCATGGCTCAGAGAATGGGACTCCCCTGGGATGTGGAAGGCATGGGCTCAATCCTCACCCCCCTGCCTGATGTTGGGGGGAAGAGATTTAACTTGGATCACACACACACATTTCTGGAGAGCGCACTGGCCACTGGGCTATAGGATATTCTGGTGCGGGGGGGGCTGTCTCAATCTCTCCTCTTGAAGCTGGTCCACCTTGTATAGCTAACTAAATATTTCCTGGAGCAGGGAGCTGAACTTGGGTCTCTCACATCCCAGCTGAGTGCCCTAACCACTAGGCGGAAGCTTATAAGGTAAATTCCTGCCTTTCCTGCTTTAAAATGCTGGAAAATCAAAACAAGTTCTTTCATGATAAAATGTTTCATTTTGACATAACCAAAATGTTTCACATTTTTCAGTTCAGTCAAAACTCTTCCGCGAACTTGACACGAATAGCTTCAGTCACCCTGCAACTGCAGGTTATGGCAAGTAAACGATTCATCCAAAAAGTTTCACCCTGCCCTAGTTACCATGTCACCTTGGCCTTTCCTTTTCCCTTCCCCCAACCATCCACCTCAAGCTTTTTGTGTGGTTATGGTCCCTAACTGTCGTGTCGTATCACACGCTCACAGTGGTCGTGCGTCTACCTCTCGCGGCTGGCCCGCAGCGAGAATAAAAGCCTATGGTTGCTGCCAGAAATGGAGGGACTCCTTCTGTTTGAGGGGTCGAGGTGTGTGCAAAGCTCTGTGTTCAAATCCTGTTGCATGTCATTCCATCAGGCCAAGTGGAGATGATAAGCTCTTTAGGGCAGGAAGCATGTGCCTGGTTTTCCCCTGCCCTGAACTTTGTATAACCATTCGCATCAGTACAAAGTGGATATAAACACCACTGTCTCCATTTCAGGGTAACTGCACCTGTGTGGTCACCCATGGGCGCCCATTTAAAGGTTTCCAGCTGTCACCTCTCTTGGGTGGAGACCTGCCTGTTTCTTCCTTCTAACTCTGATATTCCTACCCAGCCAGTCTGCCTAGCAGCCAGCCCCTGGGTGTTGCTTTCTCTTCTAGGGCTATGACCAGTGCATTGCCAATGGAGATGTGTTACCAGACAGCTCCTTCTAAGCAAGCACATTTATTCTTAAGGTAAAAGCATTACAGAGAAAGCATATAAGAAAATCAAAGAACCTACACGCATGCTAAAAAGTTTGCCGGAGGTCACCCCCCACTCCAACCTCTGGTGCTGGTAGGTGTCAGTCCTTCAAAGCCCACAGCTGGGTTTTCCCTGTTGTTACAAGTTGACATCAACCTTTAAAGCAGGAACCAGAATAAAGGCCCTGAGTCAGTTCAAGCTCGGGCAATTTATCAAAAAGGCCCCTCTTTGTCAATTGGTCTCTGGAGAATCAAGTTTGAATCAGAACACGAGAATCTCACCAGGGGGTAGTATCTCTCTGGAGGTGTTACAACCAGAGCGATTTCCTGTTTTCATTTCCTGGAGGAGTTGTGGTAACCCTCCCCTCATGCAGTGCATACAATCCCTGCCCCCCAGTGGTACATAAATCATTCATACACTTAATACAGTGTAGACTCCCAAAGACATTACAGGACATTGCCCTGTCTGTGACAGCTACCATAAGTCACCTGAGTCTCATTTACACTGAGGCCACTTTGCACTGCTCCGGCCATGTAAAGGGGCTTTGAAGTGGGTGTCAGTTACAGTTGCACTCATAGGTTTGGTTCAATGGCTGTCAGCCCCCCCACTATATGAATTGTTCCAGCACCCTTGGTTGCACCCAGTTTAAGGCCCCTTTACACTGTCAGATCAGTAAAGAGCAGCCTGAGTGAAACTAAGAATCAGACTTTCGTTGGCTTTGTGAGGTGCTTAGAATAATGCTGAGGAGCTATGATAGTAAATCATAGTAATAATAATAAATAATACATTTACATATTGCCAGTGAGGGGCTAGACACATTGCAGACAAGTAAGATCCCTTCCACCTAGAGTTTGAAATTTGCAATCTACAACGTACAGGTGAAAGATGGGGGCTGGGATGCAGGCACAAAGCACAGCGAGTGGGCAGGGGGTGGAGGTGTATTAGTGTGTTAACTTGTTATTTTCTGACTTTTTGTTGAGCATTTGATTGAGGGGGGAGGGGCGCTACATCTCTTTTGTTCACATGTCACTAAGTAGGGGGGAGGAGTTATTAGATCTTCATTGATTTCTAATTTGTTTCCAGATACAAGCTGTCACTTTTGGCCGATGATGCCCTAAATGATTTGGGTGCTGGCTAATTTAGGGATTGGTATGTTGAAAATATTCATGCCCAAGTGCTCAAATGTTAGAGACAAGGGGACTGGAAAGAGAATATTGTGCCGGTGTTTGGGGATGAGTTTAATGCGAGTACTAGTCCTATATCATGTTATGTGTCATTGGGTAAGTAGTTGTATATATACTTAGAGGCTTACATAGGCTCATTTGTTGTAAACTGAAAGAAATTAACTTATTTTCTCTTTGGACATCCTTCACAGAGCTTGGGAAGAGGAAATTAATTTGTCCTTAACAGGGGTCTATGCTCAATCTGTTCCCTAAAGCCCCTTTTATTCTCTTTAAACACGCAGGATCCTCCAGAGCAGAGGCAGGTGCGATGGAGCTGAGCGGGATTCTGGGGGGCTCCGTCACTTTCCCTCTGGGGATCCCAGCAGAGCAAGTTAAAACTGTTGCATGGACAGTAAACACAAGCAGCGCTGTAGTAACTGTAGCAGCAGGAAACCCCCCCACTGTCATTGTGTCAGACCCATGCTACGAGGGACGCCTGAGAGTCCCTGCCGAGAGCTACTCGCTTCAAATCACCAGCCTGAGGATGGAGGACACGGGCACCTACAGCTCTCAAATCATCACAGCTCCAGACAAAATCTACAGACACTTCCTGCTGCGCGTGTTCAGTAAGTGTGGGGTGGATTTTTTTTTTTGTAACTTTCTGTTAATTGTAACATTCAACAATGTACAAGTTACACACTGAGCATTTTACACAGAATATTAAACTTTGATATAACAAACTCTGCAGGCAGGATTCTCAGTTACACCGATGCCCCTTTGTGCTGCCAGAGAGACATAAAGGGCCTTTGTGTAATTAGAACCAGGACCCATGGAGATTTGCACACTAGGCTTGTGATTTTCCTCTTGACACCAGTGCAAGTCACGAAGACCTCCACCGAAGTCAATTGAGTTACATAACTGTAAAGCTGCTGAGCCACAAGAGAGGAAAATCAGGCCCTAGAAATGGGCAGATGGCACCAAGGGGCCTGCGCCAAGCCATACTGCAGCACTTAAAGACAAACCTCCACTTTCTGGTCTGAATTCTCACTTACACTGTTAGCCAATATACATATGTCAGGCGCAGCGCACCCCAGATTAATATAGTATTACACACAGCATATGGGCAGCCATATTAACCAAATTACATTACGCCTTTCCCCCAATGCTGTTCACTTCTGCTCATGCTAAGGTAATACCCATAAGGCTTTGCAAAGCCGAAGTCAGCTTTGGCACTGGCAGATACAAAACCTGTCAAAGGCAAGTTGCGTGAATGGTGTGTCCTTGTACAGGTTGGGATGTACCTCCATGGCCCAACTGGTACTCGGAATGTGGTATCCAGAACAAATGATAAGGAAGCTACAAGAAAACGAGACAAATAGCTGGTTGGTGGGTTAAGTCTCAGGGAAGGTTCAGCGTGCTCTCTAACTTGGAAACAACCATATTATAAATATCGCTCTAGTGTAGTTTAAATGCATATTTTCAGAGCACATCTTCTGCGTAAGGTGAACTGAACACTGCAGGAATTGCTTCCCGAAGGATTGGTAAAGTATTAACTCTTTCCTATTGCTGTGTCTTTCATTAATAAAACTTGGCTAAGCTTGGTTAGTTGGTCTCTCAAACATTGTTAATAACAAACCACAAGTGTGGCCACATAACTGGCTTATATTTTAGACAATAATACTAAGGCTGCTTTACTCTGCTGTGACCGTTGTAAATGAACCTTAAAATCGGCTTCAATTACAGTTGGACTCACTTTCAGGTCTTTTTACAGTGCCACAGCCATGTAAAGGGACCTTAGTATAAATAAGTTCCTGGCCCTCTGTGTAAAGTTTTGTTAAAGCTTAATGAAACTTGCAGAGTTTGAAATCCTGTTGCAAACTGAACTTGAATGAGTTTTCTCACAGCCCCCAGACTTTTTCAACGGCAATAATAACATCTAGCTTAATAACATAAGAACAGCTGGTCCAAATTTTACAACAGATATTTCTTTTGGTAGAAAAATAAGGTTCTTCTAAAAAATGCAATGTTTCGCTTAAACAGTTTGATTTTGACAAAATGTTCAGTTTTTCAACCAAAAGAATCAAAATGAAATGAAAATATTTTCACAGGAAGTTAAAATCTCCATTTTGTTTTGTTTTTTTGAAAGCCAAAACAAACATTACAATTTGAAACGTAATACCCTAAACCTGCCCTTCAGAGCATAACGCCTGGAGACACCAGAGCTTGCCTGGTGCATTCTTCTCTGCTTTCCCCCAGCTTGGGCTGGACATAGAAACCAAGTTTTGTGCACCACCATGTGTGACATTTAATGCAAATTATTCAATGAGCTAATTTGTACATTTGCAAACAATTTGCATGTACATTATAGTAATAAATGTCAGCTTAAAAGTCTCTGGATTGAGTGCCAGTGAAAGGCATCAGTCTTTAAGTACATGATCAGATATTACTGTTTCCCTGAATGGATTTTCAGCAGGGTTTGAATCTGGGAGTTCCACAGATCTATAGCCCAGATAGCTCCCCCTTGAGTTATAGGAGTAACAGGTAGAAGAAGTATGTTGTTATTCTTTATGTGGACAAGTTCCTTGGGGGTAGGGAAATTTAATAAAACACATTTTGCTAGTGAGTTACAAAATTATTTGTGGTTCTGCACTTAAGGAATAAGATTCCAGGATTTTATTCCTATCTCTGGGAGAAAAAGTACTGTCAAGTGATTATTGCAGGATACAATCAGCATAACCAAGCACATAATTTGGCCCATTCATTCTGAAAGGCAGAGTGGCAAAGTGAATGGTACTTGGCTTTGTTATATTAGAAACCTGGATTCTATTTCCATCTCTGCTGGAAATGACATTGTGCGACTTCTCAATTATATTGTCTGTAAAATGTATCCCCTAATGTGATGCCTTGGCTAATAATAAAGGATGCGAAGTGCACAGAAATATTAACCCTCAGTAGAAGATTTTCAGAATGTGGATATTTCTGAATAGTAAAGACTCCTGATACAAATATCATCTGAATACCAATATCACATTCCGCACGCATCTGTACTGGGAGATTCCATCTCTTGAGTCATTTAAATCTGGCGCAGGATGTGACCTAATAGGTCTTTTTCCTTTCATTCTATAATAATGCTTCTGCTCTCTTGGTACTTTTGGGCAGATGCTTGTAAGAACCTGCAGTGATTTTTCATCAGATTTGTGTTTTCACATTTGCATTTCTTCTCTCTTCCCCTCGCAGAGCAAGTACCGGAGCCAGCTATCGTCTGTAACTCACTGACGTGTGTGAATGAAACCTGTAACTACAACCTGAGCTGCTCCGTCAGGGATGGAGGGGAGCAGGTGACCTACAGCTGGACTCGCCCAGCAGGGGGCGCTGTTGTACCCAATGAGTCCATTCTGCACATCTCCCAGGGACCCCCTGATGCTCACCTGGCCTTCACCTGCACAGCACAGAACCCCGTCAGTAACAGCTCCACAACGATCACTGCAAAGGACCTTTGTGTAGGTAAGTCCCTCTGCAGGAAAGACTCCTGTTTAAAACAAAAACAAACCATGAACATCTATAGAAGCTAAAGGACCCCTTCCTGCCAATCTGCCACGTGCTGATCTCCCAAGTCACTGGTAGGATCAGGCTCGTAACAGTGATAGTTTTATAGTGCTGCTTGTGTTACAGGAGAGCAAAGAGAACGTTTCACTGAGAACCGAATTTTACCCTAACAGGCATAACTGTATAAGAGCTTCTTTAACAGGGAGTTAAAAAAGCAAACCCCAGCTGCCTTTTCAGTTAGTAATGGCCGAACCTTGCAGAATTGGAAGGCCCAATATGGGATAAGAACAGGATCCAGAATCCTTTTGGTTCAAGGCTGGAAATGTTGAGATTCAAGTCACGGCACAACGTTTCTGGCCATTCTAGATCCTGGCTGGGTTATAAATATCACCAGACTGGCATTTTTTGATGATATTTAGTAAAGCTGCTCATGAATCGTTCGTCAGAATGGTTTTGACTGACAATGCAGTTGCTGCTAAAACTGAAATTTTGCACAGGAAAATTTTGATTTTGCCCAAAAGATTGATTTCCCTGTTAGGAAAATCTAAATGAAATATTTTGTTTCTGAACAGTTCAGTGTTAAACTACATCTGCCTCAGGTGCTGTGGTACCTCAAAGGGGTTTTAGTTTGTGAGCTTCATGGCCCCACTCTCTCCCATGCGCCACACTCGTTGTCTGGGCTGCATCTCCCATGATCCCCTGTGGCTTCCCCTCTGCTTGAGCCAGCTTGGCTGTGGTGCATCTTGGGAGATGTAGTCCAAGCAGGGAACCTGACCCATCATGAAAAGCTGAGGGGTGGGAAGCATCAGAACTACAACTCCCAGGAGGCAGCGTGGCAACATAGCTAGAGGCCGTTTGATATCAAACGGACCCATAAGAAAATGTTGTGATTCTGGAAATGTCTAAATGTCTCATGACGATTAAAAATGTCACACTATTCCATTTTGACATTCCAAATTGAATTTTGTTGTTCAGTGAAAAGCTTCACTATTTGGACTCGTTATCATTTGGGATGAAAACAAATGTCAACATTTTGGAAAGTCACATGGGATGGAAATTTTTGCTCAGCTTTAATGTTTAGGCGCTTCCAGAAGGAGCAGGGATCTGCGTCCTCCTGCTCCTTCTTCAGGAGGTGGGAGAGAACTCGTCAAGCAGGGGAACTGGGGGAAGTGGTAGTAGCAGAAGCTGGTGCCTGGCTGGGAAAGTTTTGAGGCCCCCAAGTCATTCCCGCAGTAGCTGGAGCAGCCCCAACGCCTGATGGGAGAAGCGGAACAGTCCATGGGGCTGGGAGTTCCCCTACTTGCCTCCTTTCACATGCAGGAAGAGCTGTCCCTTTTCTACCAGGGTGGGTGGAAAAAGGAAGAATAAACTCCAGCTGCCCTTCCCCCCAGGGAAGAGACAGACTCTAACACTGGCTCCTCCTCTAGCGAAAATCCAGAGGGAAGAGAATTGCCCTATCAGTTCCCTCCTGCTTCCTGGTACCCCACAGTGAGAGGTGTGGGTGGAGAGGGGATGGGTGGTGAGTGGGCACACAAGGGATATTACTCATGCCCGCACACGCTTTTCCTTGGCGTTGGGTCTGCATTGGGAACACGGAGTCTTTCCAGATACACTTATTCCCTTGTCCCCATTCTCTTCCCTATGCTGCGTCCCATCACACACGTTGCAACAACGCCACTTTACCACATGATGTCAGCACCCACAACAACCACCATCACTGGTGAGCCACTCCTACCGCCCTGTCTGCTTTTAACTGCCAGCTAATTACTGTCTCGGGGGGGCTAGATCCAGTGCTGCCAACCCTCACAATTTTATTGTGATATTTGGTGTTTTTCTTCAAGCCCAAGCTCCAGGAATCATGGGATTACACGAGAATCACAGCTTTCATTGGTGGTGTGGGGGAGAGACCTAAGTTTCTAGTCCTTGTGGTTATGGACCCCTAAGGGCTCAATAAACAGAAGAAAAATAAATTTGATTATTACTTTGAATCTCGTGATTTTTGGACATTGGAGGGTTGGCAATATTGGAGATTTTAGCTGGTGTAAATCAGTGGAGTGTCACTGAAGTCAATACAGCTATGCCGCTTTCCATTAGCTGGGGACCCTGGCCCAATCAGTGGTAAATCAGGAGCAAACCTGGGTTCAAATGGAAGAAACCCTTTTCCTCCATTGGAACACATCACTGCGGAGACACACCAGGAAGCCTTGGCATTGATACAGGGAAATAACTCAAGCTATTGCTGGGGTCCCCTACGGGGCTGGAGTACTGAAAGAATCTGGAGGAACGTAAACAAAACGGGACAGATCCTCAGCAGATAGAAATCGGCTTAGCTCCATGGACTTCTGGCTTTGTCTGTCCACAGAACTCAGTGTCAATGTGAATCAGGCGCTTTGTATTTCCCCCTTGAAAGCTCTTCCTGTGGTGCCTTTACCTGGCAATGGCAACACAAAGGGGTCTCAAACAGGGGTGGAAATTATATTTACACTCACTTGAAGGCTGCTTTGCAATGCCAGAGTGGTGGGAAGGGGCCATGGTGTGAATGTGACTGAGGCCCAAAGCTCCCCAAGTTTGTTTTTTAAATTAAATTTGTTGTTTGTCCTTGCACAATACATCTGCCATTTTCCCTTCACCGTAAAACCATGGAGTGGCTAAACTAGAATAATAATGCATTGTGTGTATTACTGTAGCAGCTAGGAGCCCTAGTCATAAACCGGGACCCCAGTGTGCTGTGCAAACACTGAACCAAAGAAAGAGGTCCCTGCCCCAAAGAGATAAGACAGGAGGCAGCTGGATACAGACAGACGAGGGAGGACAAGCAAACAAGGAGACTGTACTGGTCAGCATGACAAACAGTGGTCTCTGAATGAGGGTTATTTACCAACACCCAGTGCTGAGGTCGGACATGGCCTCCCAAACTGCTTGGCTAGCAGCAGGAAAGGAGTCTGCAAACTATTGGTGGTTCTTGGGAGATGGTTTGAAAACTGCCAACCTGCAGCCCATACGGGCTCCCTGTTTTAGGGTAGAGGAAGAATGTGCTTTTCTGTTACATCTCATGGCCGTTTTCTTCACTGTCACTGAGTTCATTTATCTTCCCTTTTAAGTACTACCATCTGCCCCTACGGCTGCAATTGCAGTTCCAATTAGTGTGGTCATCGGCCTTGTCATCATTGCTCTGTGTTTCCTGTACATGCAGAGGCACAGAAAAGGTAAGTTTCTTCACTGGGGTGGAACAACAGCCTATGTAGCACCATAGGCATCAATCATGGCAATGTCGGGCTGGAAGGGGCCTCAAGAGGTCACCCCGTCCGGCCCCCTGCACTGGGGCAGGACCATGATGCTTTGCAAGTCAAAGGCCCCTGCCCCTCGGAGCTGACAGAGTACAAAGGCGGGACTGTGATTGCAAAGCCCCAGCCCCTGGTAGGAGCACACTGCGCTAGGAGGCGTTTGGGTTGAGGGAGATGCAATGCTGCTAACAAAGCCAAGGGAGGGGGCTGGTACAGATTGCAAAGAATCCCCCCCAGTGTAACTCCACTGGCCGCTGCAGAGAAGGGGTGGCAGATTACCCCCTCACGCCCTTTGGGGAGAATAACTCTCCCGCTGGACTTAGGCTGGAGCAGCCTGTAATGACTTTCACTGTAAAGAAGAGGCAGGGCTGGGCTCTGAGGAATGCAAACTGGATTCTTTATCAAGGCTGCTGGACAAAGACGGACTCTGTGGTCCTCTCTGGCTCCCCAGCTCCCATTCCTTGCTACCTAGAGCTGCTACAGTGGGCCCTGATTGTCAGGTGCTGTTTTCTGGAGCAAGGACAGAGGTCAGGTGGTTTTTTGCCACCTTTCTGCTCCCCGTGTTCCCCTGCTGTAAGTTAGAGCAGCCTCGGGGCTGCTCTAATTATGCTCTGCTCCCTGTTGTTCCCTATGGCCCTGGGTTGCTGAGACTAGCTGAGGCACAGCACACTCCAGCCACACCCCTGATTTGTCCCCTACACCACATGCTGAGGCAGGACAGGTGCAGAGCCCTTCTGCCAGCTCCAACACAGCCACGGAGGTCCCCTGTGCAAGGGGGCCCTCAGGGGGCCATTTCCACCCACTTTCAGTGTGTAAGGCTCTCCCTAAATCCTGGCCTGGCCTCACCTCTGCAATCATGGAAGGGACTGCGGATTACCCTCTACAGCCCATCAGTGTGGGTCGCTGGATTAGCTTTGGGTGGGGGGGGGCTGCAAAGAGCAGCAAGGAAGTCCCTGCCCCTGGGGAGTGGAACAGCTGCTTCTGCAGCAGGGCTTTGCTTGGAGACGGTGCAGGATATCAGCATCCTAGCAGCAAGGCCCCTTCTCTGCTTCTCTTCACCACCAGCCTGTCCTTCCCCTAGTGGGGGAGGAAGGGCCTTGGGTGGACAGGGAGGGTTCCAGGTGTGGAGAAGGTTGAAAACCACAGAGGAAGCAAAGACTTTTTGCTCTTGGTTTGATCTGTGGTCTTCTAATGCACGTCCCCTTTTGTTTCTTTCCATTGCAGCCCTGCAGAAGTTTGCTCCAGGAGCTGCTGGCAGCGCAGGTAAGAGTCTCCTGTGTCCCATTGCCCCCCCTGGCCTGAGCCCTCCTTGTATCCCCCCGAAGTGCATTTTACTTTCCAAGTCTGATTTTCAGCCCCTTTCCCTTTTGGGGCAAACACAGACTCCGATTTTAAGGCCAGAAGGGACTGTTACGATCACGTGCTAATACAGTCGCCTCATGCAGCCCCTGGCACTAGGCACGGGGCAAAACCAGCCCAAGAAGAAGGGTCCTTATCCCAAACCAGCCAAGGATTCTGATCTCCTGCACAACCCAGAATCTCACCCTGCGACTGCTGAGCTGAGCCTGACGTAGAGCACGGGCATTGGCCAACTGCAAAGTTAACTCGGTAAATACACCACCAACCAGCCAACAGGTTAATTCCTCCGGCTTCGCTGTAGCTCCATGGGGTGCATCACAGGAGCCACCACAACAAATGTAGGAACAAACAGCTGAGGTTGAATGTAGAGGGGAAGTTAATGGATACGAACACTCCTTTCCCTTAGCCGTTTGCTGTGTAAATTGTACCGTCTTCACACAACGCAGGGGGTTACTATAACGTGCATTATTTCCATAAGATTATGCCCCCTCTGGCTGGTTCCCCATCCAATCCCCGCACCTCACCCTAAACCCCCTCAGTTACTCTCCCATCCAGCTCCCTTAGCCTGGATACCTTCTGGTGCTGCGCCCCCCGCCCCCCAAGCCCTTAACTGCGCAACAGGGAGGAGGAGGAGGAGGGGCTAACGGCTGCGCAGTTTGTGTCTGTGGCATTGACCCCCCCCAGACCCTCCCTCCCCTTGCCAGCTGCTCCTCACACCGCCAGCCCTCAGCTCCACCCCCAGCTCCATCGGTCTCTCTCAGTGGAGGAGATGAGGGCAAGGTTGCGAGCTGAGTGGCTGGTAGGGGAGGAGGAGGGACACTTATGCAGCCCCATCTACCCTAGAAAATACTGTAGGTGACCAAAGGCCAGAGATCTTAGTGCAGGAGGCAGGATTAGGCCAGAGGCCAAAGCCTGGTGCTGCAAATTAGGCAGGTTTGGTTGCACAGGCCAGCCACGGGAACGGTTGTGGTGTACGTAGCAGTGAGGCAGGTGCCATTTTGTGTTTCTTCTCAGATGCAGAATGTCGCAGGGCCAATCACACACACTGGGCTCTCGCTCCCTCTCCTGGCAACTTTACATTTGTTCTTCCTTTGTCTGTTGTTTTCTTTAAATCTGGAATAAAAGGCACCCAGGCATGAAAATACCGCTTTTACTCTCCGATTCTGGGAAGGACAAAGATGCGGCTGTGAGGAGGGGATGGTAAAATGACAAGGAGCTCAGAGAAAGTGAAGGAGTGTGGGAGAGATTTCCAGGTTAAAGGGAAGAAAAATAGAAAGGTGGAATGGACACTTATAGGAATATGGAAAGGTTCCGGCTTAATGAAACACAGGAAGATTTGGAAGCATGGGACTTGTAACTTTGAACAGTATTTTACTGCAAATGCAGCTGAAGGCAACAGCAAAAGATCCCACAAGAGCTAAGAACATAGAAGAATGACATTGACAAGTTTAAAGACTGACGCCGAAACTGGGAGAGATGGAATATAAGGAGGAACGGCGCCGCTTCATAAGCAGCTGTCCCATGCTAGGAATGTATCTGTATTCAGGAGAACACTGAAGCACTTGCCTAAGCCCCAGTGCAGTTTATGGGACTTAAAGCTGCGTTTGACCGGCAGTATTACCTAGTGGACAGTGCCCTGACTAGGACTCAGAAGATCAGGGTTCTAGTACCGACTCTTCCACTAGCCTGATGCGTGACCATGGAGGAGTCAGTTTCCCGCTCCGTGCCTCACTTCCCCATATGTAAAATGGGGATAATGACTGCCTTTGTAAAGCGCTTTGAGGTCGACTGATGAAAACCCCTAGACAAGAGCTAGATATTAATTACTCTTAAAGCTAACCATGTGTTTAAGTTTTTTCCTGAATCAGGGCCATTATGTACCAAAGACTAACCTCTACAGCTGCAAAGTATAAACGTCTTTTTAAGAAACCAAACGGAAGGAGCAAAGATGCCAGGATTGTCGCCACTCAACAAATGCTTCCCATTCCCTGGACTTTTGATAACTCATTTTGGAGTTGTTGTCATCAACACAACCTGCAGGCCAGAGGAGAATTAGTCCCGGGGCTGTGCAGACTGGACATGTTACAAAACGAGCCATTGTGTTCTATTCCTCTTTCTCCCATGGAGACTTCATATTTATTCTCTGTTGTTTTTCCTTAATCTGAAATAAAGGCTACATACATGGAGAAGTACCTGGTTTGCTCTTTATGGTTGGAGATGTCTTAACGTGGATATCCAAGCCCCCTATGGCAGTGGTGGTTGGGATCTGGCAGATCCCTGATACCTCTGCTAGTTTGGTTTAGTTTTAAGGCTGTGTGGTTTTAAGTTTAGTTTTAAGTTTTATAGTTTTTGTATCAGAGCACTGAGAGCAATTTCTCAAATCTTGATTGTAAAAAATTCACAAATTTTGAATTTTCAACCTCCCCTTCCTTCCCCCCCCCCTCAACATAAACTGCTGCAAATGGCCCACCTTGATTATCACTAAAAAAGATTATCACTACTCCTCCGCTCTCCTGCTGGTAATAGCTCACCTCTCCTGGTCACTATTGTTACAGTCTGTATGGTAACACCCATTGTTTCATGTTCTCTGTGTATATAAAATCTCCCCACTGTATTTTCCACTGTCTGCATCCGATGAAGTGAGCTGTAGCTCACGAAAGCTTATGCTCTAATACATGTGTTAGTCTCTAAGGTGCCACAAGTCCTCCTGTTCTTTTTACGGATACAGACTAACACAGCTGCTACTCTGAAACTTGTCATCTTGAATACTGCGTACAGATGGGGTCCCCTCATCTCAAAAAAGATATACAGGCATTACAAAAGGTTCAGAAAAGGGCAACTAAAATGATGAGGGGTTTGGAACGGGTCCCATATGAGGAGAGATTAAAGAGGCTAGGATTTTTCAGCTTGGAAAAGGGGAGACTAAGGGGGGATATGATAGAGGTCTATAAAATCATGTGTGGTGTGGAGAAAGTGAATAAGGAAAAGTTATTTACTTGTTCCCATAACATAAGAACTAGGGGCCAACAAATGAAATGAATGGGTAGTAGGTTTAAAACAAAAGGAAGAAGTTCTTCACTCAGCGCACAGTCAACCTGTGGAACTCCTCGCCTGAGGAGGGTGTGAAGGCTAGGACTATAACAGGGTTTAAAAGAGAACTGGATAAATTCATGGAGGTTAAGTCCATTAATGGCTATTAGCCAGGATGGGTAAGGAATGGTGTCCCGAGCCTCTGTTTGTCAGAGGGTGGAGATGGATGGCAGGAGAGAGATCACTAGACCATTACCTGTTAGGTTCACTCCCTCTGGGGCACCTGGCATTGGCCACTGTCAGTAGACCGGATACTGGGCTGGATGGACCTTTGATCTGAGCCAGTGGGGCCGTTCTTATGTTGTTGTTTTTTTACATTTTTTCCTGTTTCAAAGCAAGTGTAGAACTGGTCAGATTGGCAGAGCTGGTTTCTAAAAAAGTGTCGAGCTTCTAAAGAATTTTTCATTTCAACAAAAACAGGGGGAAGAATTGAAGAAATATAAGTATTTCCCCCCTTTAACCGCCCCCCCACTATTGTTTAGGGCTACTAGATTAATACTTTAAAAAGTCTTTTCTTTTACTAAAAGTAAAGCTCCACAGACAACTAGTCACCTGTTTTTTATTCTTTGAACAGTTACTTAGTACTTTTCATCCTTAGGTATCCCAAAGTGCCTTGCAAAATGATTGATAAAGTTTACGGAGATTTTTGTCACCCATCATTGTAATGGAGCCACCTCTGAGGGGGAACATGGCAGCTGTTTGATACTGCATAGCAACCCTGCTACAGTTACCAGAGTTAGAATTTGGCCGGGTTCTAGGTGAACACCCCTGGTCATTCACGAAGTGCCCAAGAATCTTTAATGACTCCAGTTCAATGAGCCCAGTAACATGTGCAGTGTGGATCAGAAATAACACAGATTTCCCTTAAGCACTCAGGCGAGAGGAGAATGCATGTCCTCCCCATCTGTCTGAAGTTACCATACAGAACGGATGAGGGCACAGCAAGGGGGACTGCCCAGCCCTATGCCATGAGTCCAGTGTCTCCCAGTTCCCAGTCTCCACTGGCAGTGGGGTCTGTTCCATTCACTTACTTCTCATGTTCTTTTCATTGCAGAGGCCGATGCAGAAACAAACACAGTTTATGCCAAAGTCGGTAATTTGCCACTGGTGAGTTCACCTAAAGCTCCCTCATGGTGAAACCGTTACCAATTCGAGGCAGTGGGTCGGCTTAGCCAGAAGAATAGCCAGGATGGGTTGATGGTACCAGTGCCTTAGATTTACCACGAGTATGGGACTGTGGGGCCCCAGTCAAGGGACAAGTGGGGCTAGCAGAAACACTGGGGTCACTTTGTGATGGGGGAAGAGGAGGCGGCGTTGGAAGCAGCCAGAAAATTTTTGAGGTCCCTTTGGAACATGCAATAATGCTCGGTCGATGCTGAAAGCGGCAGCTGCTCTTAGAGAGAAGGAGCAGCTGTTCCAATCCTTTGTAGCTGCAAAGGGCCCTGACCCAACAGAACCAGGCCTCCACACGGGACGGGATGGAATCCTGTGCCCAGTGTCCATTCCAGAAGCCCTTGTGGGCAGGGAGCCTTTCAGCTAAGAATTAAGACTAGAGATGAGCAAATAATTGTTCGATTCAGGGCCTGAACCGAAAAAATTCCAGAAAAATTTCGGTTCGAACTGAAACTGTTTTTGCAGAGTTTTTTTTTGCTGAAGAAAAATGTTTAACTTGATGCAAAATGAAATTTTTTCAATCCCACCCCCTCCCCCCCGGCGTTAATTTTGGGTCATTTCAGGTGTTTTTTGCCCCAACCCCCTTTTTAAAAAAAAAAACCAAAACCTAAATTTTGAAATGAATTGTGGTTTCAAAACAAAATAATCAAACTCTTGTTTCAAAATGGTAGAAAGGAAGTTTGTCAGAATTGGAAGAGTTAAAACAAAATATTTTGACTTTGAAGTGTGTCCCCCCCCCCCCCACCATTTTTGGCCAAAACTAGTTGCTGAATTGACCCCCAATTGCGCCGAAAAATGCATTTTGGGCAAATTCGCTATTTGCCAAAAAAGTTTCCCCGAACTCTAATTCTGACCACAGCTTTGGCCTTGTTTGCCCCTTGTGACGATTGCACTCTGACCTGACTCTACAAAGCATTATTTAAAGCCACTTCACTCAGCTGCTGCAAATCTGTGTCCAGCTCATGCTATGGGGCGGGATCTGTCTATTTAGGCTTGCAGTAGAATGGGGACTCAGAAAAGGGGTCCGGAGACCAAGGAGGACGAGACAAAAACGATCTATTCCAAGGTCCATCACCCAAACCAGGTAGGAGAGCTACACCTTGCTTTCCTGTATATTTATTTGACATGGGTTTCCTTCTCCTGGCTGGCAGAGTTAAACACTGTGATCGCTGACCCCTAGCATGCTACGGGCTCTAATAACAACCACTAGTGTAACGGGCCCATGGCTAGGTGCTCTCTGATTTCAGGGAAAATATGGACAATGATCTGGACATCAATGAGACCTGGAGGTAGCGATGATAATCAACACTTAAACACAGTGAACCAAGTTCTGTGCTGAGCCTGCGGGAGACAGAGCGTGGCAGAGGGCAATGCAAATAGAGACAGGGGAAAAGAGACTTTATCTCCCCTTTATGCTCTGAGAGCTGGTCTGGGAAGAGGACCAGCCCCCACAGCACAACTTAGAGTAGCCCCAGGGGCCCAGGATAGTGCGAGCTCACAGTTCCCCAGCCCCCGGTTGCACTCTTTCCCAGTCCACCCCCGGCATGGCCCTGCGCGAGGGCCTCTACAGGCATTGTACGGACACCCTGTACCACCACGGAAACCCCGCTGCACCGGGGAGGTTTGGCTGGAGGCTACCCTGCCCCTCTTTATGCCTCCAGATCAGCCCGTAGCAAGACACAGAAGTGAGGCCAGTGAGTCTCCTTTGCACACACAGGCTGACAGATTCCCTGGGCCCTATTCTCCATTGCCCCGCCCCTTCTGTGCTGATTGACGGCACCGTAGAGGGCCACCAGCTCAGGACAGGAGTGTTCGACGCTGGTGTAAATGACCGCGCCAAGGGCGGTGGTGAATCAGGCGCCGGCCACCTACTTTCAAGGGACGTCTACCCCGCAAGCAGCAGGTTGGCCGTGGTGCTGAAGACAGCTGTGTGGATGGTACGGCTCAGGCAGGAGCTGGGAGGAGAGGGTCAAGCCCGAGTCACAATGTTTTCACAGCTCTTTTAGCTTGGGAGCCGGAGCTCTGCGAGCCCCGAGTCTGTGGACCTGGGCTCGGAGACTGGCTGCTGTGAGCTGTGCCTCCATCCAGGGCCAAACCAGGGGAAAGCTTTCACACGCTGGGGACTCTCAAACTCCCGGCCCCATTGATGCTAGCGGGACCAGGATTCCACCCCGGATCCCCAAGCGCTCGGAGCTTTTGTCTCCTGACAGGAATAGTGACAGCTCTGTCTCTTTCATTTCAGTCGCCTCCACAAACGGATGATGAGAAGCTGTGCAAGGAAGGCCTGGAATCCATGGAGAAGGGCGAGAAAACCATTTATGCCACAGTCAGCCAGCCAAACCCGGCAAGTGGGGTTTGCATCCTGTTATTAGAGGGTGGAATTCAGGGTTTGTAGGGCCATGGCTGCCTGAGAGGCCCCGTTCTGTATCCAGTTGGGCCACGATCCTGCAAGGACATCATGTGGGCGGACCCCAGTGTCCATGCAGAGCAACGCTGACTCCAAACAGGCTCGAGTCATGAGCTGTAGCATGCAGAGTCGGGGCCTAAGTTGGTTGCAACTTCCATTGACTTCAGTGCGATTCTCCACTGAGTAACTGGGAACAAAAATTGGCCCCTAAGGGGGAGAGGGATTGTTGAGTAGTCAGCTGTGGGGGTGACTGGAGGGTAAGTACACTACAGAGCAGGAAAAACATCCTGATTGTGGCAGTCTGGGCTTGGGGTATAGTGGGAATTTTCCCTTGTAGGGAACAGGGGAGCCCCATCACCCGAGATGAGAGCTAGGTGAAATATTTCAACTTAACTTTTCGGGGGAGGGAGGGGAGGACGATTTACAGCAAATTGAAAAGTTGAAAGAAAAAAAAAACTTTTGGGTTGAACAAAAATGTTTCGGTTCCATTCGAAGCATTTTCAAACATTTGTGAATTTCAAAAAAAATAAATAAAGGAAATTTCAAAACAAGTCATTGTGAACCAAAAAGAAAGTAAAAATTTCATTTCAAAAATGTCAAACCATTGACTTAAAATAAATAAATAAATAAATAAAAAGTTCCGAGACAAATAATTCAGCCAAACCCAGACGAATTCCTGAAACGGTTTGATGTTGCCAAATCTGCATTGTTTGTTGAAATTAAGTTTCAGCTGAAAAATTTCACCCAGCTGTAATCTTAACCTGAGCCCAGCACTCTAGACACCCCCATGAGTCCTTCTATCCCCCCATGAGAACAGACCTGCCCCTGGTAACCTAGGCATGTTTCTGGCACTGTGTGCAGGGCACAGACACGACTTTTCAGTATTTTTGGCTTTCCCATCGCTAACATTTCTGCTCTTTACTGTTTCTGGTCTTGCAGACAAAGACCGCCAAGTCCACAGATGCTGATGATTCTGCGGCCACTCCAAAACCTCAAGCGACAACAGAATACAACAAGATCATCTAATAGCTTGTCAAGGCAACACAAACATGCAGAGAGAAACAAGGAATAATTGAGTACCCCAGCATCAGACAGCCAAACAGCAGAGGATCAATGAGTATAATTTAATGTAATTATAATGTATAATTTAATGTATAATTTAATATAATAATGTACAGCGCCTGGCACCATAGGGTCCTAGTCCCTGACTGGGGCTCCTGTCAAGTACTGCAATTGTAATGTGGACAGACCCCCAGTCCTTGGTGGGTGGGATCAAACCGGGGACCTCTGGAGCTTAAAGCATGAGCCTCTACCGCATGAGCTAAAAGCCATCTGGCTGTTAGCTAAGGATGTAGAGCAGACTCATTAACGGCTCTCTCTCTACGTGGTCTAGGTGCTAGACAGACCACATCCAGACGGTGTGTGGGTTACACAATGCAAATAAAAACAACACACACACAGGCCCAACAAAGAAAATAACAGAACGCCTCTAGCCATCATCTTCAGCCCCCAACTAAAACCTCTCCAACACGTCATCAAGGATCTACAACCTATCCTGAAGGATGACCCATCACTCTCACAGATCTTGGGAGACAGGCCAGTCCTTGCTTACAGACAGCCCCCCAACCTGAAGCAAATACTCACCAGCAACCACACACCACACAACAGAACCACTAACCCAGGAGCCTATCCATGCAACAAAGCCCGTTGCCAACTGTGTCCACATATCTATTCAGGGGACACCATCCTAGGGCCTAATCACATCAGCCACACCATCAGAGGCTCCAGAGTAACAGCCGTGTTAGTCTGTATTCGCAAAAAGAAAAGGAGTACTTGTGGCACCTTAGAGACTAACCAATTTATTTGAGCATGAGCTTTCGTGAGCTACAGCTCACTTCATCGGATGCATGCCGTGGAAACTGCAGCAGACTTTATTTATACACAGAGAATATGAAACAATACCTCCTCCCACCCAACTGTCCTGCTGGTAATAGCTTATCTAAAGTGATCATCAGGTGGGCCATTTCCAGCACAAATCCAGGTTTTCTCACCCTCCACCCCCCCACACAAATTCACTCTCCTGCTGGTGATAGCCCATCCAAAGTGACAACTCTTTACACTCTTTACATCAGAGGCTCGTTCACCTGCACATCTACCAATGTGATCTATGCAATCATGTGCCAGCAATGCCCCTCTGCCATGTACATTGGTCAAACTGGACAGTCTCTACGTAAAAGAATAAATGGACACAAATCAGACGTCAAGAATTATAACATTCAAAAACCAGTCGGAGAACACTTCAGTCTCTCTGGTCACTCGATTACAGACTAAAAGTGGCAATTCTTCAACAAAAAAACCTTCAGAAACAGACTCCAACGAGAGACTGCTGAATTGGAATTAATTTGCAAACTGGATACAATTAACTTAGGCTTGAATAGAGACTGGGAGTGGATGGGTCATTACACAAAGTAAAACGATTTCCCCATGTTTACCCCCCCCCCTCCTTCCTCAGACGTTCTTGTCAACTGCTGGAAATGGCCCACCTTGATTATCACTACAAACGGTTCCGTTCCCCCTCCCCCTGCTCTCCTGCTGGTAATAGCTCACCTTAAATGATCACTCTGATTACAGTGTGTATGGTAACACCCATTATTTCATGTTCTCTGTGTATATAAATCTCCCCACTGTATTTTCTACTGCATGCATCCGATGAAGTGAGCTGTAGCTCACGAAAGCTTATGCTCAAATAAATTTGTTCGTCTCTCTAAGGTGCCACAAGTCCTCCTTTTCTTTCTGCGAATTCATCTAGAGTGAAATTCACCTCTGTGCTTGCCCCTTACCCAAGAGCTTTACTCTCCTTAAAACACTCTTCAGCTTTAAGGCTGTAGTCTATAGACTTTGATGACAAGCACACTATCAAAACTCAGTATTAGCGTACATAGCTCAGACTCACAATCTCTCTTGCTGCTGAATTTTCTAGGTCCCCCACCAAGGGAAAAAAATGAAGTCTTGATTCTGTTACATTAAGGCCCCCTGATGGTGCTTTAGCAGTGTACAGATGCCTTAAAAAGTAGTTACCCCCACTTTCAGGTACCTTGAACCTGTCAGACCTGTGTAAAATGGCCTGCAAAGCAGTGAGACTCGGGCCCTAAGAATCTATAACTTGGGCAAATCCAAGCACTTTTCTGTCACTGGAAGGCACCTCTCGTTGCCCAGGTCCATCTCCAGTAAAATGTCAATGACCGCTCCAAACAGCCAGAGTTGGTCAAACAAACGAACGATCAAATACTTACTAATGGGAAAAGTTTACTTCCTCCCTACCTCATATCCTCCTATTCAGAAATGAAGGAACCTTTTTTGTGCAGGGATTTTTTTTTTTTTGCTCAGGAATGTTTCTGTGGAATCCCTCAGCAGGCGGAGAGTAGCCCCAGAAAAGTTTCAGTCTTGAAGGGGTATGCAGTGGTGTTGCAGCCGTGTCAGTCCCAGGATATTAGGGAAACAAGGTGGGTGAGGTCATATCTTGAAGGGGAACATTTAGGAACCTTGGGGCGGGTTCGGCGGGAACCTCCTCATTCCCCTACATACTCCAGCTATAACAAAGGGAATGAATTTTACTAACGTTGAAAAGAAAAAACGTGAAGACAGGATAAAGCAAAGGAAATAAAATGCAACCCTACTGGAAAGTTGGAGACGTGCCATGCCATGCTCGGCTCATTCCACAGAACGCCGGTGGGCCATACAACATGACAGACACTTCTTGTGGAAGGACTTCAGTGGAAAAGTTCAGTTTGAGTCGAACAAACTGTTTTGTCCTAACAAAATCTCAGTGGTTTGCTTCGGTTTTGACTAATTTTATTTTTAGAAGATTTAAAAACGGAGATTTGGGAACAAAAAGTCCTTGCAAACTGACCGACTTGTGGCCAAACTTTCAAGGGCTCGGCCCTATGGCCGGGGCAGGTTCCCCCCAGCACACGGCTCTTGTTGCAGTTTTGGGGGCAAAGCTAGTTTGAAAATCTGGGCTCAAGTGTTGGAGCCTCCGGCAGGGCCACAACATGAACTCGATTCTTCTGTGTCCCTCGCTGCTGCCTTCCCCACGCGATCATCCTGTTCTCCTCCCTTTAAGCTACTTCTACCTCCTCCACTTCCGCAGTTGTTCTCTCCTACTGAGCACTCCCTATGTGCCCCCCAATCTTCCCTCCCGCCTGGTCCCTCTACCTCTTCCTCCTTTTATTTATTATTTGTGTTCTCACGTGCCTTCCTCCTGGGGAGATGGAGCCCCAGTCACAGACTAGGTGCCATACGAACACACGCCCGAAGACGGTCCCTGCCCAAAGAGCTCCCAATCTAACTCTCAGCCAAGAGAGAACAGGCGGACACAGACAGACCAACAAGGAGTTCAAGGAAACAATATTGGTCAGCATCCAGATAGTCCGGGGGTCCCCATGCTGCTTCTACACCTGCAACAGTCTCCCACTTTAAACTTCCTACTTTAACTGTAAACTCTTGGGGGTGGGGGGTGGCAGGAACAGTCTGTTTGTCCTGTGTTTGTACAGCTCCTAACACCATGGATCCCTGGACTAGAACTGTGTACTGTGGTATTGCCGGGGTGGCACATGATGAATAATACTTGTCTTCCAAGAGCTCCCTCTCCCCTCCTTCCAACCCCCTAGTTCCCTGATCCTTACCCCGCTGTCCTCCCCAGTGACTCCTGCTTTCCTGGAATCATGGGGCTGTATCGCCACCCCCCCCCCCCAGAGAAGGCCCATCGTTCTGTTTGCAAGCTACCCTCTCTCTGTATAAACCATTTGGATTTTCAGACGTGTGTGTGTTGATGAAGCATCATTGACGGGTGTCAACGGGAACAAGTCCGGGGCATTGTGGGAAAGAATCTGAGGACTCCAGCTAGGAGACAATTTAAGGACATGATCCAGAGACTTTACGTGAATGGATTCTCCACAGACAAGGGATATTGGACCAACTGGGACGCAGCAAATTTCTTCTACCTGCAACTCCTATGAGCTACAGCCATGCTGGCTCAGCACATCACACTATGTGGAGGACTGTCCCAAAATGCCCAGCAAAGGAATAATTCATTAGTGTTCTTGATGCAAAGAAGAACACTTCAGGCGGGGGGGGGTGTTTGTATGAGACCTTTTGCATAATGGGCTCCTGACCACAGATGGGGGCTCCAGATCTTGCCATAGTTATGGAAATTTTGCATCAATGTAAGCCAATGAGGGAGCAGCCTGTGCAGGGGCTGAGAGATTAGAAGTGAAGACACCTTGTGGGAAGGGGGAATGCTTTTCAAAGGGTGGGAGCGGGAGGGGTAAAAATGAAACGTGGGGCTGGCTGGAGAGCAGGAGTTCTTATCAGCAGAAAGAGGGTCACCCACTCAGCCGGCATGCGGAGCCAGAGCACAGACCCTCGGCAAGAGATTGTCCCAGCAGCACCCAGGGCTACCGTCTATGACTGCGATCCTCAGCTAGTACAAGTCAGTGCAGTGCCTCAAGAGACTTTGGAGCCAGTCCCAACTCTGCCACTGCTCTATTATGTGACCTTGGGCAAGTCATGTAGCCTCTGTCTCAGTTTCCCCCATCTATGTCATGGGTATATAGCCCTACCTCCCAGGGGTGCTGGGAGGTTAATTACTCTGGGGATTGTGAAGCACTCAGAGACCATGGGGATGGAGCCATATAAGTGCTCTATGCGGATTGCTCAAATGTCCCAGTCTATGTCTTCACCTCTCCCACCCTCCACACCTGCCCTTTGTTACACCATCTGCTCAAATAAATTGGTTAGTCTCTAAGGTGCCGCAAGTCCTCCTTTTCTTTTTGCGAATACAGACTAACACGGCTGTTACTCTGAAACCATCTGCACCGCTTCCCCTCTGGGTGTAAGGATAAGGCCTTTGTCTGCAGCCATACTGTAAGGCCTAAAGCCTCAGGCCTTCGTCTGCAGCCAGATTAAAAGAGCAGCCGAGCAGCAGCCATTAGCTGAGAAGCAGGAAGTCACATCCTCACATTCCATCTAAATTACATTAAAACAATGTAATATCAGACTGTTAAGAAGGAGACCCCATCCTAATGGCCCCCCACTATCCCCAGATAAAGAAACAGATCTTAAGATGGTTAAAGAAAACTTAGTTTGATAGCATCCTGTCTGTCAAGAAATCCCTTATCAACAGTTGTGATTGTGAAATCCTCATTTCTTCATTGTTTTGTCATTATGGTCCCCACTTCCCTATTGTTTATCTGTATGGTCTCTGTCTGGTTCTTTAATTTTTCCTGTCTGTTACCTAATTAATTTTGCTAGTTGTAAATTAATTAAGGTGGTGGGGTAGAACTCGTTAAAGAATTTTGTTACACTGTGTTAGGGTTGCTTAGTAAAATGTAATAAAATGATTGGTTAAGATATAGCTAAACAGGACTCAAATTTCACTATATAAACTGGGGTCCAAAAGGAAGTTCTTTTGGACTCCAGGACACAGCCCCAAAGATCAGAGCTGCCAGACCTCAACACTCTGCCAACGACACTGTGCAGAGACAGGAGTCCCCCAGATGGATCCCGATCCTGACTGGCCAGCAGGGAAAAGTTTGTCTGTCTTATTGGGAGTGTTGAGCACTGTGTGTAGCATGTACAGTCTGTTTTGGGTGACTGTTAATAAATAGCGGTCAAGTATCAGGGGGTAGCCGGGCTAGTCTTTATCCACAAAAACAACAAGGAGGAGTCTGGGTTGGATCTTGGAGTTGCATCTGAAGAAGTGGGTTTTTTTACTCACAAAAGCTTATGTCCAAATAAATCTGCTAATAAATAGAGGATACAGCTCTTTCACTGGAAAGAGGTCCTGCAAACCCGCAGGGTTGTGCCTGAGCCCTCGGAACAGGGTAAGGGTGGGTGCCCTAGGCAAGAGCGTGTGAGTAACAGAGAATTTTGTGTGGGTAACATGGTCTCTGGGTGCATCCCCTCAGGCATCAGCCCTCCTGCCTTTACTTCTCCTGGCACACAATGCCACAATTCACCCAAGCCTAGACCGAGCCCTGGGTTACAGCCACTTGCCCCCGGACATCCTGAAGGTGTGACTGGGTTCGGCATGGGCAGTTCTTTCCTTTGGGAATCTGTGACCGGCGTATAATGACCAGATAGCCTCTGAAGACAACAGCACTAATTATCTTTGCAGGAGGAAAAAGGCTTTTAGAGAAAGAGGTGTTTTTACAGACTGTCTCCAGCCAGCTCGTCCCCTCCAGTCTCACCATCCCCTGCTAGTGACGTAGGCAGGCCCAGCCCCTTCACGCAGCCCCAGCAGGGTCATGTCTCAATTTGGTTCCCTCAAACAAATACCAACCCCCTTTAGCCCCCTGCATACACACACTTGAGTGGGTCCCTTTTAAATCCTGCTCTCGTTCTTTTGTTCTTCTGTGTTCCTGGCCTTTGGACTTTCAAGACAGACCCTGTGGGCTGAACCGGAGTCCTCAGAGCCCATAGGTCTGGTGCTGTCCTTTGCCAACTCAAGTGTTGGCGGAGCGGGCGCTTACCTTGAGCCATTCCCTTCTGTCCTGCCTGTTCCCCCAGTCAGCCCTCTGTTGGGTAAACCCAATATATTCATACAGTACATCCCAATAGCCAGGCCAATGTATAGGGGTACTGGTGACTGCTTTGATGGTCGTGGGCTCTGAGACTGGGCATGAACGCACCCTTCAATTAACATAACTGTCAGGATGGGTTAATTAGAATCACCTCCCTCCCCGGCAAAGAGGAAAGGGGGTTTTGATCCCACGCAGGAGTCTGGCCTGAGTGGGGAGAAGGTGTGTGTAGAACACACACAACAGAGAGGTGGAGGCCAAAAGCCAAGCAGTAGCCTGAGAGCACAGTGACACCCTGGAAAAAGCTGGACAGCTGTTGGGTCTGGTGTTGGCTACAGAGACTTGGGGCGGCGAGCTCAAAAACTGCCCCTTTCGTTCTCGGGTCCTCCTGCATTTGGAGCAGCAGGATTTTGTACTTTCCTTGTAACTAAGCAAACAAGACAGCATCAGACAAGATACCAGACTCCATCACTTCCTACTTCCCACCGGCATGTCCCCAGGTGGCCCTGAAATCGGACTAGCCACTTGGAAAACAAAGGGGCAGCTGTATTCATGAATTATTACCAGGCATCTCCACATCCTTCCCCTCATCCCTCTTTGCCCTGCTCTGTTCACCCCACCCTCTCCCTTCCCACATCTTTCCATTTAGCTAATGGAACTGACTAAACCTCACTCTCCCACAAAATGCGGGGACCACCATGACATTTGCCCCCATCACCCTGATCGCTGTTTGAATGCTTTATCCCCCGTCCTTGTTGTGTTGCCTATTTAGATTATAAGATCTTCAGGACAGGGACTGTCTGCAACCCTGCATTTGTACAGCTCCAAGCACCCTGCCCTCCCTTGCTTTCAGCAGCTCCTTCAGCACTACTGTGATAAACACAAACAATAATAAATGAGACATTGCAATTGAATAAAGCCACCTCTCTCAAACCATCCGCTCCAGCTTTAAACCAGAAGGAGCCCAGAACGCCACTTGTTCCTTATTCATCACCCAGATTGCTACACGGATTTCTTGCATATTGTTTAATTCCTCAAGAGGAAGCTGGGGAAGGAAGAGCTTGTGAATTCAGCTGCATGCGGTTGAGTTTCAGAGAATGGCGCCAAAAGAAAGAAGTGTGTGGTGGGTTTGGATCTCGGTGCTGTGTGCTGGAACCGGTGAGTCCAGAGTCAGGGACAGGGGGTGAGGATTGGTGGCTGTTTTCTTTCTAGTGGGCTTTAGTGGCCCTGGCTGCACCTGCAAGAGGATAGATTTGTACTTATGGATGTAGCTGACGCTCACAGCCTCTGAAAGGCTAGGGGGCTTTTATAACAGAGCATCAAGTGAAAGCAAAATCCCCGGAGGATGAATCTGGCCTAGGGGCTAGGGCAGGGGAATGGAAGCAGGACTCCTGGCTTCTAGTCCCAGCTCTGGGAAGGGCAGGTCATCTCATCATTAGAAAGAAGGGAGTTGGAATCTGGGCTACAGAGCTCCAGCGGTAGGCGCGGGATAGGACGGAGCGTGGTCCAGTAGTCACAAAAGGGAGCTGCGTGGTGGTCCCAGCTTGGTCACTGACTGGTTTGTGACCCTGGACTAGGGTGACCAGATGTCCTGTTTTTAAAGGGACAGTCCTGTTTTCTGGGACTTTTTCTTGTATAGGTGCCTATTACCCCCCACCCCCATCCCATTTTTTCACAGTTGCTATCTGGTCACCCTACCCTGGACAAGTTCCAGAAACACCATACAAGCTGTACCCTGCCCCTGGTCCCCCACGCCTGGGGTCCTTCCTCTGCATGATGCTGTGTAAGAGATTGAAAACTCCCCATAATACAGCTTGGCCAAGCTGTAGGTGTGGTTGGCTACTGGGATTTCTCGTCTGACCCCTAGAGCCATAAACTGACGTCTTAAAACATAAGATTGAATTAGTCTTTTAGCACGGAAAACGACAAGTGTCACTGCAGTGTAGACGTGCCCCAGCGTAGCCAATCCGTGAACTCCTGGCTGCAGGAGAATCCAATACTCTGGATTATACAAAGGGCTAACGCTAGACAGTTAACCAACAAAAAGAAGTGTGAGTTTAACTCAGGTTAGCTAAACCGGGTTCAAATAGCAGTGGAGATAAGGCAGCTCGGTTTCTAACTTGCGTTAGCAGCGCGAGTTCGAGCCTGCAGAGCAGCCCGGGGTTGAACTTGTGCAGCGAACTCAGGTTGAATGAAGAGTCTGTGCGGTGACTGCTCTTTTATTCCCAGTTAGCTAATCAGAGATAAAAACTCTTGCGGGGGAGACCCAGGTCATACAACGTTTCCTTCCACTTGGCCTACAAGTCTCCTTTGCTGGGAAGCCTATAAAAAGAACAGGACAATGGTCAGGCTGCTGGCGACCCAAGATCCCAGCCTATCAGGCTGATGGCTATTGTCTCACGGTTTCCTGGTGCTCCCCCGTCTCTTGTCTGTCTTTCGATGGTCAGCCCTTTGGGGAAGGGGCTTGTCTTTCTTTGCTGTGGATTTATTTGTACAGCACCTGGCACCATGGGGTCCTGCTCCGTGACTGGGGCTCCTGAATGCTATGGTTACACAAAGAAACCACCACTTTGCTTTAAGTTTCCCTGCCTCTGATTTCCATCCACCGACCTCGGGCCTGATTCTCACGGACTCCGATCCACCCCTGGCTATGCTTCGACATATCGCTGCACGCTCCGCAGAGCTGAGTCGGGGGCAGTGGGCGAGTTTCCCAACCGCCTGTTAGGGTCAGTTTGAGGCTGCTCAGGGTCCTGCTATTTCCATCCGTCCCCAGGAGGCAGCTCGACGCTCCCCTTGTCTTTTGCATGGGCTCTGCAGGAAGCATTGCTCAACGGCACTTCAGCTTCTTGCTTCTAGGAAGGTTGCTCCAGCAGGGGTTACTCAACAGCTGCTTCACCCAACAGGCGCTTCCGGTCAGTCGGAGATGTGGTCGGTCACTCCTAGGGGGCCGCTGTCTGAGCTGCAGAGAGCATCCCCAGGTGCTGTGGCTGCAGTGGAGAGGTTAATCCACCCGGGGAGGGCCTTTTGCGGGGGTGGGGGGGGGGGCAGCTAAGACAAAGCCTTAGCTTGCAGCTGCACGTCGGGTGTGGCCAAGCTGGGTCATTAGCATCACTACGTTCCTTTAAGGACTCCAGGTTGTTGCCCGCTTGTATCTGCCCTTGGAGCGAGTAGGAATCTCGTCCCGTCGCCCTCTGCTGCGGGCTCATTACGGGACGCTCGCAGGGGTCCGAATGACAGTGACACGCACGTGATGCCGCCCAAGATGGCGCCCAGGGGGCTCCGTGTCAACGAGACTCAGCCCCGCTGATTGAGACGCGTGTTCTCAGCTTCCCAGAGAGCTCCGCCCACAACTGCCCCCGCGCAGCCAACCAGACGCTCGATGCAGAGCACTGATTGGCTGCGTGTGCTCTGAGGGTGGGACACCGTTATAGCTCCGAGATTTGGTCAGCCAGTCAAAATGCACCCCGAAGCCCGTGGTCCTGGACATGCCCATCCCTCCAGCACCAGTCTAGATGCTCAAGTCCCGAGTTCCCATCCGAACGGCTCTTCTCTCCTGCAGGACAGATGAAAATGTAGAGTTCCCAAGCAGACTGTAACCCCTGTTTTCACCTATGGGGGTGCGGGGAACGGAAGTCAGGCCCAGAGATAGGTGCCATGTCGGTCTGTCCCTTAGAACAGTGGTTTTCAGCCTTTTTTCATTTGCAGACCCCTAAAAAATTTCAAAGAGAGGCGTGGACCCCCTTGGAAATCTTAGGCCTAGATTGTGGCTCCCCAGGGGTCTGCAGACCAGAGAATCAGTGCCTTAGAGCTGGTTACTATCCCAAGGGGCAAGGGAATGTCAGAAACCTGCATGAGACAGCAGCTTGAATGGGAAGCTAATGAATCCGGGCAATTCTTTCAAACCTCCCTGCTTTGCAATGCAGATCCCTAGATTGTCTTGCATTACCATGCCTTTAAATAATAAAAAAACAAATATTAGCACTTCACATTCAAAGGCTCAGCTGCAGCAGGGATAAGCGCTGCAGAAAAGCTTCTGGATAATATTCCCTTAGACTGGGGGGAGGAGGGGATTTCTCAGACCTTGGGAACAGTTGCAGGGCCCAATTCTCCGACTCACACCAGCTTTGTGCTGTTACTCTCCATTTGCACCAGTGAGTGCCTTTTATGGAGTCACCCCTGACTGACACTGGGGTAAGAGAAGAAGTGGGTTTAAGACGTGCATCTGAAGAAGTGGATTTAAGACGTGCATCTGAAGAAGTGGGTTTTTTACCCACGAAAGCATATGCCCAAATAAATCGGTTCGTTTTTAAGGTACCACCAGACTCCCGGTTGTTTTTGTGGATACAGACTAACATGCCTACCCCCCTGATACTTGGGATGAGAGAGAGGCGCATCAAGCTGTTAGTCTCAGTAGCCTGACCTGGTTACTCTGGATGTCTCTAAATATGAATCACCCACTCACCCTTTCTTTTGTTTGCAACCATCTCTCTGCATTGAGCACCTAGAATATTTCTGAGCAGTGAAAACCAAGGCTTTCATTCTTGCATTCCGATTCATTTCTACTAGGGGCCTGTGCACGCCGGGGTTAAATGGGGGAATCTGCGAACACGGTATAGAGATACCTCTTTTCATCCTAGCGTGCCCAGGCCCAAAGAGATTAGAGCATGCAGCAGCTCACGGGACCAGCCAGTCTTGTATCATGGTAGATTAGATTGAATAGGTAGGTAGATGGATTGCACAGGACTGGGGCCAAGATGGGGGGCTGGGGACTGAGCAATGCCTATACCAAGTCCGCACCAGCTGATAACGCCTCCACACTGTCCCGGGGATGCTCAGTTAGCAGGTAGCCTAGGAGAGTTAGTTTCTCTCGATGACCAGTCTGCGGACCGGCACCCATCTCGGAGATCTCTCCGAGGCAGTTTAAGAAGGCAGCAAGCAGTCCCTGGTATCAAAAAGGGTGAGAAACACTGGCCAAGGACACAAGAGGATTCAAGTGTCTGCTCTACCAGAGACTTGCCGCAGGACTTTGGGCAAGTCACTTAGACTCTGATCCTCAGGGGTATTTCGAGAGCTAGCGCCCATTGGCAGAGGTGCGGGAAGTAGGGGTGCTGCAAGCACCCCCAGGCTTTATGCGGGTCCCAGCTGCCAGCCCCGTGCCCAGGGGTCCCAGCTGCCAGCCCTGCATGTGGGGCTCCGCTACTGGCCCCAAGCCTGCCCCCAGCCATGGCCCCAGCCTTGGCCCCCTTACCCCATCTGTGTCCCCACCTCCTGGAGGCATGGCCCTGCTCCCATCCCCCGCTCTGAGGGGTGGGGGTGCGAGGTAAAGCATTTCGGGATAGTTTTGCTGGCTTTCAGCACCCCCCCCCCACAAAAAGCGTTCCAGCACCACTGCCCATTGGGCTGCCAGGCTCTGTGCCTCAGTTTCCCCACGTGTACAGTAAGGGTAATAGCTCTGCCCTGCCTCACAGGGGTGTTGCGAGGATAACCACGTTAAAGATTGTGAGGTACAACCTACAGCGGTGGGGGCCAGATAAGCGCAACTGACAAGCATCACTCTGTCTCCATGCATGCAATTTGTGACGCACTCACTCCTGACTTCTGCAACGTATTTCCTGGCTGCACACGCATTAATAGGATGTGACTCTGTGTCATCCTTATCTGGTATTGGGGGGGGGCGCGGCAGAAGAATCTGTGTTTAATATTTAATATTGTCAGAACGAAGGGAGCATACCATTTCAGAGATCTTGCCAAATTAGGAGAGATTGACGGACAAGCTGCAATTTCTGCAGTAAGGAAATTGGTAGCCGTACCGTATGACAACAGCGAGAAAGAAAGAGAGACCCCCAGAGACCTCAATCTAGCCATCGAAAAAGGACAAGTCACTGAGCAAACGCCCACCATGTAAGGACAGTTTTGAAGAGCGTGTCATAAGAACGTCTTAGCAAACACAGATTTGGAGGTCTTTGCACATTGAGACACCGGATGTTGGATCACCATTGCCACATAGATGGAAAAATGTGGATGATGAACGACTTCCTGTGTCCATCAAGGCCCAGTGGGATCTGAGCTTCTACGAGACCTTACTTATGCCTCTATCAGAAGGGGCAGCCACACCATCATCTGTGTCTGTAGTCAGAACCATTTGCCGTGGACAGATCTGTGTACATGCCAAGGCAATGAAGACTGTGGTCACCTGCACGCTCTCGTCAGCGATCAGAATGATGAACAAGGTGAGGATAGCGCTGGTGACCTTTCTAGTCAACATCGTCACCTTTCAACGAGACCTGTATACGTTTATTATTAGATTTTGTTTTACCTTTTAGATTATTGTTGTGAGGCTTTGAGGTCACAAAGAAATCCAATCTTCAGATTATACACAGAGTCATTAAACTAACAAAAGAAGAAGTTACCTACTACAGGACAGGCCCAACAAAGAAAAGAACAGAACGCCACTAGCCATCACCTTCAGCCCCCAACTAAGACCCCTCCAACGCGTCATCAAGGATCTACAACCTATTCTGAGGGACGACCCATCACTCTCACAGATCTTGGGAGACAGGCCAGTCCTTGCTTACAGACAGCCCCCCAGCCTGAAGCAAATACTCACCAGCAACCACACCACAGAACCACTAACCCAGGAACCTATCCTTGCAACAAAGCCCGTTGCCAACTGTGTCCACATATCTATTCAGGGGACACCATCACAGGGCCTAATCACATCAGCCACACCATCAGAGGCTCGTTCACCTGCACATCTACCAATGTGATAGATGCCATCATGTGCCAGCAATGCCCCTCTGCCATGTACATTGGCCAAACTGGACAGTCTCTCCTGTTGGTAACAGCTCATCTTAAGTGATCACTCTCGTTACAGTCTGTATGGTAACACCCATTGTTTCATGTTCTCTGTGTATATAAATCTCCCCACTGTATTTTCCACTGAATGCATCCGACGAAGTGAGCTGTAGCTCACGGAAGCTTATGCTCAAATAAATTGGTTAGTCTCTAAGGTGCCACAAGTCCTCCTGTTCTTTTTGCAAATACAGACGAACACGGCTGCTACTCTGAAACCTCTTTTTATGGTAAGGGTACCACTTGACCGCTCCACATCAGAGTGGACATAATGAGCTTCCCAGTGACGTAGGAGCACATATTAAGTCGACCAAATTGGTGGCGGCTGCCGCTGGCCTATTTGTGCTGCCTGAATGGAGCAGAGGAGCAGGATCAGATGGGAGAATCTGGCCGACTGAATGGCAACGTGGGTTTTACGCAGAAGAGAGAGGGGTAAAGGCAGAGCTGGCATTAGCGGATACAGCTTCACTGACCTCCGTTGGAGCAGCAGCAACGGAGGCCAGGTCTGGATTTGTCCCAGAGCTGCCAACTCTCGTGATTGTATCATGAGTCTCACAATTGGAACTGGGCAAACGACTGATTTTTCAGTTCAGTGACCAAACCAGAAATCTAAAGAGTCCGTTCCTTTTGAACCAAACCTGAATATTTGTTCTTGTTTTTCCCCCTCGCTGAAACAAAAATTACAAAAAAAAAAAAAAAAATTTGTTTGGGTCAAATGAAAGGTTTTGAAAAGGTTGATTTGAATCAAAATGGTTTGATTTGACATTTCCCCTTCACACCCTCCAAAAAAGAAATTATTTTTTTTCCCCTCTACAAGCTATTTGCTGAATTCGACCCAAATTTGCAAATAGTTTTGGTGTCCTGAAAAAAAAAAAATTTGGGGGGGGGGGCAAATTTACCTTTCATTGACATATTTTTGCCCAGTTCTATTCACAATGTTTGGTGTTTTTCGGAAGCATCTGCTCCTGGAATCCTGTGATTAGGTAATAATCTCCACTTTCTTTCTTTGTTTAATAAACAAACAAACCACATATTTCTGGCCTGCAGGGTTAGAAAGTGAAAAGCCTGAAAACATAAAGCAATTGCACCCTAGAGGCCCAGAAATCAGGAGCCAAACAGAGAGACTCGTAAGTTAATTACTAGCTGAAAAATATGAGATTTACATACGTTTTGTTGATTTTGGGGATCTTGCCTCCTGGTTTTTGAACACTTGGGTTGGCAATTAACATTAATTACTGTATTGCTGTAGTACCTAGGAGCCCTGCTCATGGGCCAGCACCCCACTGACGTAGGCACTGTGGTCACACAGTAGGCCGCGACGTTGGCTGTGTCTGTGACGTGCTAAAGTGCAATTTTTCATTTAAAAACAAAACCTGTCACAATTTTTGCAGTTGCAAGAGCAGCAGAACAAAGACAATCGTCCAAAGACACGGGGCAAATTGGGCATCTCGGAGGAACAGCGAGCTACTTCACCTGGACAGCAGAGAGAACAGACAGAAATGCAACTTGGATCGCGACAAACACAGCCACCTCCGCAGAAGGAGGACCCACAACGCCCAACACAACAGTTCTCATCCCAGTAAAGGACACCACTGGGCACAAAACCAGTAAGTCTTGGGCAGAGAGCTCTGCCCACCGCATTCAGGGCGAGTCCCCACTCCCCTCGCTGAGCTGTTACCCATGAGGGAACCCACTCAGGTAAGCCAAAGGGGATTTCTTGCAGAAGGGGACGTGGCAGACTAGAGCAGGTTGGGAAATGGTTTGAATGACTCAAAAATTTGAACTGGGCATAACTGTAGCCACACAGGCCATCACAATACAGATGATAAAAATTAGGTCCTATGATTTACTCCCTGACTGCAGTTACAGGCAGCTGCACTTGCAGACACTGCAATTGGATCTGCCACACCTGTGCCTAGAGCACTGGATTGGGACTCTGAAGACCTGGGTTCTAGCCCCAGCTTTGCCACTGGCCTACTGGATGACCACTGGCAAGTAATTTCTCCATGCCTCAGTTTCCCTATCTGTGCAATGGGCAGGATGATCCTGACCTCCCTTTGTGAGGTGCTTGGTGAACGAAGGATGATGATGATGATTGTCCCTGTGTCCCAGCAGGGCAGCTGTCAAAGCCAGAGATTGCAATCCACTCCGTGGAGGGGATCTGCAATGTCACCTTGACCTGCACCATGCGGGAAGGAGGCGGGGACATCACGTACGTCTGGCACCAGCCCGGGAAGAGCCACGTTCTGTCCACGGAGCCCATTCTCCGCATCACCCAGAAGCCACCTGATGGCTTCCTGAACTACACCTGTACCATCCACAACACGGAGAGCAAGAGTTCCAGCATGGTGTCCCTGAGCAAGCACTGCGATGGTCAGGCTCAGTATTCCCACCCACAGCTCAGTACACTTCCTAGATAGGTCTGTGGCCTACTGGTTAGAGCACTGGCTTGGGACTCAGGAGCCCCGAGTTCTACTCCCGCCACTGGGAAAGTCACTTCCTGCCTTGCCTCAGTTTCCCTTCCTGCCCTTTATCTGATTTGACTGTAAGCTCCCTGGGGAAGAGGCAGCACCCAAGGGCCAGCCCTCTAGGTGCTACCATTACAATATAAGGCACAGGGCAAAGTGACGAGCGGGTTTATGGCAGTGCACTATCCGGAGACCTTCCAAGGCTGCTCTGAATCAGCCCAGCTCTGTTGCCATCCCTGGAGCTGTCTGGATTTACACCAGCTGAGGAGTTGGCCCTGGCTGTGACTCAATTCCTTCTCTTCCCTTTGTAGGAGCCTCAGCTTCCAGCTTGATCAAGTACTGGGTCCCGCTGGTGTTCATGGTCATTGCGTTGATCACCCTGTATTTCACATACAGGAAGACCACAGAGAGAGGTGCGGGGTGTGGCCTGGCTCCGTGGGCCTGGAATTTCCAGGCCCGACTCTGATCTCAACTGCCCTGGTGCAAATCCAGATGCACTTCAGTGAAAGGCGGGGGGTGGGGGGTGATTCTGAATTAGGCAGGTCAGTTGCCTGGTTTTAAACTGCACGGTCCTTCTTTTGGGGGACCGACATGGAGACAAACCTGGACTGCGCATTGAGGTCAGGCGGGCTGAGGTGCAGTGGTGTTCTCTGTGCAGCGTGACCTTGTATGCCCCATGCTGCAGGCATCCACAGCCCTTCGGGACTGATGCGGCATGCTGGAGCCCCAGCAGGGTCAGAATTTAGATCCTGCTGCTCCCAAACCTCAGGCCCATACCATCTGAGCTACAGGAGAATCCCCATCAGTGGCTAGCCACATAGGGTCTATGACACCATGAGGTAATTTTGATTTCATCCAGTAGAGGGCAACAATGCACTCCCACACTAGCCAGCTCATTAAAGGAGTCAGGATTGAAACTTCACTTTAGAGTCTCCTGCCACAGCCATTTGCCTCCCTCTCCTCGCCTCCCTTGGTCATCCTCACCACCGCACTGCTTTCTTGGGTGAATGCAGAAGAATGTAAAAAACACATTTATTCCGCCAGTGATTTCACTTAACGCCACCCTTTGGTTTTGTTCCTCAGACAGCCGCAGCAGAGCCGGGTCCAGTTCTCAATCCTCGGGTAAGATTCACTCCAGCTTCCATTCTATTCACACTATGCTGTGCCCATCATTGTGGTATCTGAGTAATGAGGATCAGTGGGTGCCCAAGGGCCAAAACCTCAAAATTCTTTAAGGGCCTAACTCCCACTGATGGCCTGATTTCACCAGGATTTAGGCACCTATACGCCTTTAAGATCTGGACCCAAGTGATTTAGGAGCACAAATCTCATGGACTCTCAAGGGGATGGTCTCTCTAATACCCTGGGACCAACATGGCTACAACAACATTGCAAACAAGATTCTCCCCCCCCCCCCCAGATTTCCTCCCCCCTCCCCCCAGTCATGGTCTATTTTCCTTTCCCTTCTTTTGCACTTTCCATTCACTGCGCATTACCAGTTTTGATTGCTCAGCACACTTAGGGCTAAATCCTACAGACATGTATTAGTTATTCATATTGCAGCAGAACCTGGAGCTTTGGTCATGGACCAGGACCCCACGATGCTAGGAGCCGTACAAACACAGGAAACAAAGACAGTCCCTGCCCCAAGGGTATTTAAGGGCCTGACTCCCGTTGGCCTGAATTTCAATGGGAGTTAGTTGCCTAAATCCTTTGAGGATCTGGGGCTGAGTCCCCATTATCGCTCTGAGCAGGAACGGGTGTGGAGCAACAAATTTTTAAATGACCTGCTTTTCCTTGGCTTGTTTTTCTTTGTGGGTTCATTACCAGCCCAATGCTTTGTATTTCAGACTCTGATTCACAAGACAATCAAGCGGTTCACAGTGCAGCCCATGTTAACCCCCATCCGGAGGTAGGTCCCTAAGACATATTTTCCCTCCCCAGTGAAATTGTTAGAAAAATCCTTACTAATCCCTCTCCCCTCCTGCCACCCAGCAAATGACCATCCGCACCAGGATTAGAATCCGGCTCGCTCTTTGACGTAGCCCAGCCAAACGGAGAGAGAAGGCAGGAGGCCGAGAGTCCAGAATCCTGCCTTCTGTTCCTCTGCCAGGCTCCCCATCGGACCCTGAGCAAGTCACCTCGCTAGGCCTCAATTTCCTCATCTGTAAAATCGTGGGGGGGCGCAAGTGATCCAGACCCTGCTTTGGAAAGCAGCTCGCATCCAATAGATCTCAAATTTATCTTATGGGTCTCTAACTTATGGGTCTCTAACACACCACTTATGGGTCTCTAACGCAAAGACCCCACGGCTTAGAAAGCCTCGGTGTGAGCACTTGCACATGAATGGGTCTTTATTCCTAGATTGCATTAAACCATTTTTTCAAATTTAGGGCCTGATTCAGCCCTGTGTTAATCCAGTTTCATGCCAACATACCTCCCCTGATTCCAGCAGACCTGCACCAGTATAAAAGTGAATTGAAACTATGGCCCTTAGTTCTCATGGAAGTATTGCCCAGTGACAGACACCTGGGCCACTGCACCTGTGTGACTCAGTTTCCCCACATGGGAATAACAATGCTTAGCCAGAGTGCAACGAGGCTCCACCCATTCACATTTGGGAAGCATTTCAGAGCTAGGCAGGCAGCAGTGGGTTAGCCTATTCACACACACAGGCGAAGATCCATCTGTCATGGCTGTATTTTGTATTGCAGGCGTGGAATCGGACTGGTGAGGAGACTCCAACCACCAAGAAAAATGAAGAAGCTCTCGCTGACCCAGATCCTTCCCCCCAGCCAGGCAAGAAGTCACAGCTCCTTGGTTTTACTTTTTGAAAATAAGCAACAGCACTGATTGAATTGCCCCTGGCCGTCAGCTGCTAAAGAACTAGGGTGAAATCCTGGGCCCCTGATATCGATGGCAAAACTTCACACTTAGTTCTAACTGACTGCAGCACCCATGACAGTTGCTCTGTCCAGGGACTCCTCTTGTACACCCTGCTCCCAGCTTCCAGGCTGTGTCTGCTGGGCTTTTTGTCCTGCTCTGTCGCTCTTTCTCGCTGGATGTCTCTCTCCTCCTGCCACTCCTTCCCCCAAATGCAAAATCCCCTCCACCCAGACTTTAGACTTCTTGACTAGCCTGCGGACGTGTCTCCATCTTGGAGACAGCGAGGAGCTAGGGCTGGATGAAGGGCAGCTGCTAAACAGATGCACTTAAGAGGTTTTTAACCCTCCCACGTGACACACGTGCACTTTTCATCCATTGCTCACTAAGAGCTGGGTGTTATTAATACCCAATTAGCAAGGGGCATCGCCTAAGGCTGCCTCTCCCCATCACACCCTGGGTGACCTACCTTGACAGTCAATCCCTGGGCGATAGCAGTCCTGCCGGCTGGGGCAGGGTCCCAGCCCTCCGGCTGTGCCTCTGAGGGAGCCCAGCCCTTCCAGAGAGCTAGAGCAGCCCAGAAAAAATGAAAAGCACTCCCACAGCTCCCTGAAGACCAGTCTCCACCCAGCCGTGGGGGGATGCGGCCTTTCCTACCCTCCAAGGAAGTCTCAGCTCGGGCACACCTGAGGCCCCATGTGCAGCAGATGGGGCTGCTTGTGACCGCAGGAGGTCGTTAACCCCTTTCTGGTTTGGGGGCGGAGTTGTCTGCCTGACCGCCAGGCTGCCGGGCCTTTGCTCACGCCATTTCACTGCTCTTCTTTCCACCAGCACAAAGCAGGGATAACCCAGGTGGGAGAGGAGAATGAGGCCTTCTCAGGCCTGATCTATCTGGGCTCCAAGCGCAGAGGAGTTTGCAGGTCACCGGGGAGGCTCTGAGCGGTGCCCAGAGTTGAGTCGTCCTGATGCAAACTCCACAGCTGACCCCAGCCAGTCGGACTCCTGGAGAGTCAGATGTGGGTTTATTCCAGAACCTCGGGCCCGGGCAAGACGGCTGGTTTTCTGCTTCTCTTGCCATCTCCTATCCTGTGCCCAGCACCCACGAGTTGTGGGCGGCTGCATGCTGAAAGGGAAGTGCCTGTGGAAGCCTTTGAACTCTTCCCTGGCTTCCTTCCAGCTCATTTTCATGTGGATTTTGCTTCTCTTTGATTGAACAGAACACAGCACAGCCTCGCCCAGCTAACCCAGGATGCCAGACCAAGCAGCGCCTCCTAGCCCCCCAGCGTGACGCCAACACATGGAGAAACCACAGGAGCGTTGCTCACTTTTGAAGAAAGCTCTGGACGCCAATCCCACCCCACCCCAAATCTTCCCCTTGTCCCCTGATGAAGAAGAGAGGTGACAGTCAATCTCACCTGTTACATGGCACTTTTCTCCTGTAGATCTCACAGTGCTTTGCAATTGGGGGTGCATAGCAACAGCCCCGTTTTAGAAGGGGAAACTGAGGCACAGAAAGGCGAAGTGACCCTGCCTATCAAGCCAGTAACAGAGTGAGGAAACAGAACCCAGGAATCCTAATACCCTGCCTGGCACTGGACTATGTTGCCTAGCTTTGGATTGTGGTGCTGCTCCCTTGTGGATGGCAAACTTTGGCCCTGATTCTCCATAATGTGAAGCACGTGTCCAAATCCTAGCAAGACTGGGGACTGTTTTTGGTTCCGGGAGTATCAAAACTGTAGAGCAATCTAATGGGGGTGGGCTCACTCGTGTGCGCATGTGTGTAATACACAGGATTTCATCCAATAAAGTCATATTTAATGTTTGAAACACAGCTGGCCCTTGATTCTGGAACTGGTGGGAGTTTGGGGTTTGCAAAGAGAGCAGGATTAGGCCATATCTCAGTCCCAGGTGAGCAGCCCGTCTCAGCCACTTGCTAGACCGCTGCGAGGGAACACTGCCGCTGGATTATTTAAGCCTCTGGAGCCTGATCACAGCCCTGGGGCACAGACCCTCTGTCTATCACCCCCTCCTGAGGGGGTGCTGACCCACCCCCCATTGCTTAAACATGCCCTCTGCCAGAACCCCACCCAAAGGGATTACCACTGACCTCTCTCAGGGGCGCATGCTGGGCCCTGGATTCTAACCCCATCGTTGTCAGTGAACAGAGAAAGCACAAGGAAGTAAAGTCCCCACAGCCCACTCACCTCCAACCCGCAGGGCCCGCCCCCGCTCGCTCACCCTTCCCGATGGGATCCGGGGGGGACGAGCTGTGCTCAGGCAGGTAGGCAGGGTCCCCTGGCTCCTCAAGCTCCTATGTGCCAGGTTGCTTCTCGCGCTGCTTCAGCTGACGAAGAATGGGCCCTGAATAAGGCAGCTCCTATCCTTTTGTCACATTTAGCCCCCTTTGTCAGGTGGCTTCCTGTTCACCCTCCCCAGGTGGTCCCAGACCCCCAGATCCCAGGTGACTTGGGCCCCAATCCTTAGAGGTATTTAGGTGCCTAGTTCCCGTTGGCACCCAGATGCATTTTAGGATCTGGGCATTCCAACGCTGCCAGGCAACCTCTATACCAGTTCTCCTGGCCGGAAGCCAGTATTGCTTAGAGCAATTCTATTTCAATGGGTGAGCACTCCCAATTAAACAACCTGCTATTTCCAGCCTTGGACCAGTTCAGCCCTGGACCATGACAGCTCTGTTGGAATTTTGGTCCTACATGGATGTGAATGGACACCAGAGAAAAGGCTGCACCTTCCAAATGGAGTTTTCTGCTTGATACCGATACGCCCATTGCCCTCATCATCTCATACCGAACTCCTACACTGTCCCGAGAGCGTCCCCAAATCGTCACAGGCCGACAGCAAAAGAGGCCACGTTCCGCTGCGGATGTTGAAGCTCAGAGAGGCATGTCTCAAAAGCCGCAGTGGGCTGCATCGGATCTCAGTGACACCCGTGAAAAATGCGGAGGGCTCTGGCGTCCCCTTGCCTTGTACCTTGTGTTGTCACTCACACTGAGAAGAGGGGGAATATTCTACCACGCCAAGGCAGTAACATTTTACCTGTCGACCCTGGGTACCTACATGGCCTCCCATTACTCGCAAAAAGAAAAGGAGTACTTGTGGCACCTTAGAGACTAACCAATTTATTTGAGCATGAGCTTTCGTGAGCTACAGCTCACTTCATCAGTTCATCATTTGCGAATACAGACTAACACGGCTGTTCCCATTACTCGGTTATCTGAGCACTTCAGAACCTTTAATGCACCCTGTGAGGTAGGGCAGTTTTATCGTCTCTGGCTCGACTAAGGTCTCAGGCCCCACCCTTCCTCCTGCTTTCCAGTGCAAGCCCAAGGCGCAGGTGAGTCAGTCACTGCATTTAAGCCAGGAGTTACTTCAGATTCACCCCAGGAAGTGAGCTGAGACTCCAGCCCTTTAAATGCAAACTGAGCAGAAGAAGAAATAACTCATTTTCTTAAAATAAAACCCCCTCTGTCAAATGCAGATAGCGAAGCTGCTTCCTCTTTCGGGGTGCTCGTACTCACGTTCACAGAAATGCACTTATCTGTCATGCAAACGTTTTTCCGGGCCCCATTTTTCTGATCTGAATGGTCCACAAAAGTCCGGCCACCCAATGGCAAGTCAGGGGTACTCACCGCTCCGCGTCAGGGGGTCTGATGGAATTTCTACCTGGGTTTTTTTCAGCCTGCACTCTGGGGGATTCTGACCCCCTAGGGGCAATTGCGCTGGGCCTGACTGGGAACTCGTGACTGAGTCCGGCAAAAAGCCCCACCATGAGACCACAGCTCTCTCCTGACAAACGTATGTGGGCTGGGTCCAGGAAGACACGCCAGCTCTCGGGCCTGTGCGGTTCCCTGGTGCCAGCAGCGGAGGGCGCTGGAGTGCAGACACAGGCAACACCTGTTGGCCCAGTTCATTGTTGCCCCGAGGCCCTTGACACCTGCAGCCACATGCACCATCTCTGAAGGGGCCAGGCTGGGGGCGGAGCAAGAACAGGGCCTGGGAGGACCACAGGCGAGAGGGCGCGGTCAAGTTGGGAGGGAGCGTGGTCTGGGCAGAACTGTTCCTCTGGCCCCATAGCAGGGATGCATGTTAGGACAAAGACCGCCCGAAATGCAAACCCCCATGTCCCTCTCTTTGCAGGGGGCTGGCACACGGAGACAGGGCAACTCGGCTCCTGTCTTAGCTCTGGCCCCAAGATGTTTGCTCCAGTGGTTTAGCAGACTTGGTGATCTGGAGGCCCCTTCTTTGGTAGTGTAGACGCACCCAGAGTCTGTCGGCCAATCTCGCTCAGCTGGGCTGAGCACTGCTGCTGGGTTGGGGGTGTTGTTTACGTAAGCACCATGTCCTGCAGCAGGAATAGGCCACCAGCCATGTAGCAACAGTGCCTTCAGCCTCCTACCCCACCCACTTCCTAGCCTGCGGGCCCGATTCCCCAGCGCCCGAGACCTTACGCAGCCATTTGCACCAGTGCAAACTGAGGGTGAGACGCTGCTGGTTCCACGTGGCAGCGTTTCGTGCTCTGCTGTGGTGAGCGAGCGTGCAAGGTGCCACGGAAAATTACGTCCAGGGACATGAGGGTACCCCAACTCCAAATGAGTTTGCTGCTGTCCCCAGTCGTCTCTGAGGAAGAGACAGGGCTGGATCTTCCATGGAAAAGGTGGAAGGGGAAAATAAGACAATGCAAAAGCCAAAGGAAATGACTCATGCCCCGAAACCATGGCACCTTTGCCAGGTGACTCATTCTGAGAACGATGAGGCACATATGGGTTGGTAGGGGCAATGGGCCTGGGGTCTGATTTTAAAGAAAACAGGATGATTTGGAGGGGGAGAAACGAATCCCCACCTCCCCCCGCACCTCGTTCTATTTGCTAAGCAAACTCCCCCTAGCAACCTCCCGAGAGCTCCTGCCATGAAACAGCAGGTGCTGATCACTGGATCATTCTGCAGCACGTGTGTGCGCACACACACGTGTGTTTGTGTGTCACGCGTGTGCTCATGTGTACGTGCACACACAATGATCTATGCCACTGCCTAGCTCTGAACTTTTTGTGGCTGACATTTCTGCTGGGTGGATCTTTTTATAGTTGTCTGCAAAAAAGCAAGGTGTTATTCGCATACTCTCACCTACCTGAAGGCCGTGGGATTTCTGTGGGGGAGGACGGTGTGCTGGGGGTTATAAATGGAATATCCTGTCCCCAACCCCCACCGGTGTTTGAGCAGCAGGCCATTCCCACAGCACCTCTGTGGCTATGACTCAAGCCCCTGCTCTGGGCCTGGGGCCGTGATCTTAGACACATGAAATTACGCTGCGGGCTTGCCCAGATTTCAGCCATCAGTGGTTATTCACCAAGGGAGCTGCCCTGTTTCAAACCTGGAGTTTAGGGTCCCTGGTGTAAATTAGAGCTGCCCCTGAATGCTCTAGTTTACTGCCACCTCTGGCCACACCCCCTATCTGGCCACGCCCCCTCCTCTGGCCAGGCCATTGACCAAATGAGGGTAACTCTCTATAAGCCAGCTGTGAGCAGGGCCCCTGCAGGGGCCTGCACTGGGCCAACTAACCTGATTTTACTTATACCAGGGCAACATCTGTGTGCCAACCAGCTCTTAGTTTCCTGCCTCGGCTCCGCCACCTCAGCTTCCAGCAGGTGCGATGGCCGGTGCAGTCAGGATTCTGTCACCAGAGCCACGCAGGGGAGAGGCTTACTGTGCATGCTCCAGCTGCCTCCACATTGGCTCTGGCCAGCCGGGCCACAGGGCTTTGTAGGGGCCAGCCACTTCAGACGAGTGCATCCGACCGACCAGCTGCTTGCGCAGCCTAATCGGGCAGGGCCGGGATTGGGCGTTCCAGAGGCCTTCGCTGACTCCTCTGCTCCGTGTGCAGCGTGGCCTTTCCATCCATCTCCCCTTCCTTTGCCGAGCCAGGGGGCAGCAGCCCGACCAGCCCCTGCAGCGTCTCAGTGGAGCAGGGGAGGGTTTTTTTTTTTTACACGCCCAGTTTTCCACCAGCCGGGCTGGGGCTGCACCGGACCCAATGGGATGCTTTACGCAGGGGATGTGCGGTTCGAAATGAACTCATGAAGAGCAGGACTGCAGACACAGGCGGGGAGGGGGAGGGCAGGCGGCCAGCGACACACCCAATCCACTCCCTCGCTGTGCCTTGTGTCGTCACCCCTGCTGGCGGGTGTAAAAACGCCACTAGCTTAGAACTGGCAGGGTTTGGCCCCTACTTTGCACTAGTGCAAATGGACCACACTCTGACCAGCTCTGGGTGTCATCTGGGGTGGGGGGGGAGGGTCCACATTGCTGCTGCGCTGATAGAACGCTGCTAGCCGGGGGCGCGTGGCGCTCTGGGAAGCAGAACGGATCTCGTGGGTAGGAGAGAAGGGTGAATAGTAGGGTTGGGCCCACTTGAGAGCCTAGCTCAGATCTTTGCCAGCGGCTGCAACAACCATCTCTCATCCACTAGTAGAATAGCATCAAAGCCTTAGTGCATCCCAAGGTCACCAAGTGCTTTACAAAGGAAGGTGGGATCCCTATCCCCATTTTACAGCTGGGAAAACTGAGGCCTTGTCACGGAGCCTTGTCCAAGGTCACCCAAGGCTACTCAGCTGCCAGCTCCCGCCTCTGATTGGCCAGTGATGCCAGCCCTCCCTGCACACTTGGCACGTTTTTCAAACAAGCCACCCTTTGTGCTGTCGTCCCTTCCCCCCACTGCCCCGGAACCATCAGCAAATCTGCCACCTGGCCCGCCGCCGTCTCCTTTGCCATGGGGCCCCCGACAACCCGGGGAGCTGAGACCTGCCCATCAGGACCTGTATGGACTCACGGTTTCCTTGTGCTCCCCCGTCTGTCTGTAGCCACCTGCAGTCTCTTGTCTTATGCTGTAAGCTCTGTGGGGCATGCCTCGTCTTTCTGTTCTGTGTCCGTACAGCACCTAGCACTGTGAGGGGCGTGGTCCATGAGGAAGGCTCCCTCCCGGCGCTACCGCAAGACAAATAAACTACCGGCAGGGGGAGGGAGGGAAGGGTGTATGGCCCCAATGGGGGAGGGGAATTTCAATGGCTATTTCTGAGCCTCAGAAATGTCTGGCTGTTCCAGGGAGCCAGTGGGGAAGGTGGGGTTGATTTATTTGGCCCTCCCCTAGCTATTGATCTGAGACTTGCTCCCCCCCCGTGGGATCCGAGCCACTGATTGTCTGCAGAGCCCCCATGGGTTAGAATAAAGGCCCACTGCCCTGCAAGGCCTTTTAAACAAGTATCTTGGATGGATGGGGGTGGGGGCAGCTGTATGTAAATCTCCAATTCCCTCTGATTTGGCTCAAATAATTCCCCCAGAAGTTGCTGCCGGAGTGGAGCAGGACCCCTCACAGCTGGCTCCGGTCTGGGGTGCAGAGACCATCTGCCTCCTTTCTTCGGTTGGAGCCCCCTCTTGCGGCAGATTCCTGTCATTACCATTAGCTGCTGTCTCTTCTTTTTTCCAGCTCCTGGGGCTTTTTCATGCTTTTTTGGGTTGGTTGGTTGGTTGTTGTTCTTTTCCATGAATTACGCTGCCCCTTCTGGCCTCTAGTTTTCCTTTTGGCTCCAGTCCCCTTCCCCATTCAACTGCCCTGTAATGAACAGTCCTAGGGCCAGATCCCCAGCTAGTGCAAATCCCCATTACTCCACTGGAGATCTCCAAGCTGGGGAAACGGAAGCATGCAGAGAGGAAACAACTTGCTTAACGTCATACAGAGTGACTGGAGCCGAGCTGGGGCCGGCACTCAGGCCTGCCAAGCGCTTTGTCCCCCAGAGTATGCTGCCTGGGAGCCTCACACTCAGAGTCACCCTGGAAGAATAATGTCCGAGAGTAGGTGGCAAAGTTCACAGGGAACAAACAACAAAGGTGCAATGGAAAAAATAATGCAGAGTGAGAGGGGAGACTCCACCCGAGAGGGAAAACACACGCTCTCGGTGATGCAATCTCTCCATCAATTATATTTCTGCCCCATGGTCTCATCTCAAACATATCCTCTGCGTCTGCCTTAATGGAGCTCAGTTAGCGAATTCACTGGCTTTGCTCAGAAAGGCCACACGGGAGCGGAGCAACGAGGGGCAGGAGCTTCAGCTGTGCAGCTCGAGGCATGGCCCAGACGAACGTTGCTCAGAATGACCCACATGGGGGGATGCTGGCTGTCAGCACAGGCCCACTGGGCATGGTAAGGGGCTGCTATGGATTGGGTGGGGAGGGCGTCTGAGACCCAGCTCACCTCCTGGAATGAGCCAGCCCTGGGGGAATAGGAGAAAATACAGGATGTTTCCAGTGCCATGCAGTGCTCAGGAAGGCATCCAGAAGACGCCAAATCTTTCCCTCATTATCTTTTCACTCCCCACCCCATTCTTTCCACCCTCTCCCACCTTCCTAGCTTTCCCTTTTAGTTAAATATCTTCTTCTCATCCCTTGTCACAACACCATTCCCGTTGGTCATGGGGGGAGTGGAACCTTGTTTTCACCACCTTTAAATTAGGGAACAAATCTAGAGGGATTTGCCAAAACAGTGGCTTGGAATCCAGTCCCGGTAAAAACCGATTACAAGTAGCTTGAGCTACCCCCAGCCCGGCTAACTGGCGTGTTTTTTACAATCACATCTTCCTATTTTTCAAGCGGTTCTTTCCCCCCTCTGGGTAGGTTGGTTCACACACCAAGGGAAACTGACTAAGGGATCTGCTTTGCGTAGGTGGACCGCTCTGGGCCAGGAGACTGAGTCAAGTCACTGAGGCTCCTAACTGGGGCAAGGGTGCGAGCTCCTCGATTCCTAACTCCTATTGTGCCTAAACCTCTGCCTGCCAGATGCTGGGACTGGATCACTGGATAATGGCCCTGTTCTGCTCATTCCCTCTGAAGCATCTGGCACCGGGCACTGTCAGAGACAGGACACTGAGCTAGATAGGCCAGTGGTCTGACCTAGTATGGCCGATCGCATGTTCTTATTTTAAGATCTGAGTCTTTGTGGCTATACAAGGGAAACGATGACACTAACCATACCCCCAAAAGACCCGATTCTCAATTACACTACCCCCACCCACCCCTGCCCAACCAACACTTGGCTTGTCTTCATGGCAAGTTCGTGGGGGGGGGGGGGTGGGTTCAGGGCAACCCTTGAGTTATATCTCAAGCTAACACTTCAGTGAAGGCAAGGCCATAATTATACCCATGCAAACTGTGTGTGTAAATCAGGCCTGATACATTTATGGGAATAACCTAGACGGATGTAACTGCATCCACACTAGGGGTTTGTACAATGTTCATTATACCAGTGTAGTTAAAGCAGTTTGCTTGTGTATGTAGCCAAAGCCTTAGTGTAAATGAGAAGTTGGCCTTCTGTGCCCTTGGGTCCTGTTTCTTTAAAATTGTAACCGGAAGTCTGGCAAGAGCAGGCAAGGTTACAGGGCAGAAACTCCCTAGTGCAGCTGTGGCTAAGCAGCTGGAAGGAGAAGGCCCGTTCCTGTTCCATGTTTGAAGAAACACTCTGCTGTTCCACACGATCTATCTCCCCAGCAGTCTGTTCTGAAACTCTTTGCATGTGCTGGAAAAAGTCTGCGTAGCCCATGATCACAGCATGAGCTTAGAGGAAAAAAGCAACTTCCCTCCATCACCCCATCTCCTCCCCCACTACGCACACACCCAAACCCACAGCTGGTGTTTTTAAAAGAAACAGGCGGACTGTACAGGAAACAAGAATGCGGGGGGGGGGGGAACACTGTTCCCCTCGCCTCTGCCTGTGTCCAGCCCAATGGCAACAGCCGCAGCACTGTGGTGTAGGCAGCAGCTGAGAATCAGAGTTTATATCCCACAGAGCTGACACCATCAGAGTTTATGCGGACACTGAGATCTTTACCTGGGAAATGGTCTCCCATAGGAAGAGGTGGGGGGAGCTCCCTTGCTTAGATCTTTAAAAGGACCTAGGAACTGCCGGACTGAATCAGACCCATCATGGTCCATCTACCCCAGTATCCCATCTCAGACAGTGGTCCAGCACCAGCTGCTTCAGAGGAAGGTAGAAGAAACATCGCCCTAGGCAGAGGTGAGATACTCTACCCCCATGATAGGTTCCCTCCTGACTGCTAAATAGTTAGAGAATAGCTTAAGCCCTGAAGCATGAGGTTTAATAGCCCTGCCAGAATTTTCTTCTATTGGCAATATCAGCCCTATTTTACAGGTGGGGAAACTGAGGCACAGAGAGGGGAACTGACTGGCCCAAGGTTACCCAGCATCAAAGCTGGGAACAAAGTTCCAGTCTACTGCTCTAACCACTAGGTAACACTGCCTGTCTGGACCATGCCGCCCTTCCCATATTGGCACTGGTATGGTACAGGTTCAGAACCACCAGTGTAGAGAAATCTCTATTTCTCAATTTAGTAACAAAGTCACAGGCAAAAGAAGGAAAAGAAAAATGTCAAATGTGTTTATTTTATATAAAAAACATTTGTACAGTTTTAGTTCCTATATTTATGAAAAAAACCCAAAGTTCCTAACATGGCCATAATGCTTAGATTCACTGCAAACTGGAAAACCAAACTTTTTATATATTAAAAAACAATTTTACATTTTACAATTTTCTACACGCATGCACAAGGTATCAGCTCTGTAAAAAACAAAAACAAAAACCCCAAAACCTTTTTCTCCCTCAACTCAGAGTGGAAAAACAAAACCCCTAAAGCCTCTACATTTACAATCGCACTCCACGGAAGAGTCAGTATTTTTGTCTTTTTTTTTTTTTTTAACTAAAAAAAAATTTAAAAAAAAACCAAACAACTCTCCCCCTGTAAATGTGCACACGGAAACGTGACAAGATGCTCACAGCAATGGTGACCGATCCATAAAACCATGTCGGCGAAAGATCCCCCTGGAGGATCAGGAAAGGAGACACACAGATGGACAGATTAACAGATCCTCTGGAGGAGAAGAAATGGTGATGGTAAGGGAATCGCCCTGCTGGTGGAAGGTAGCAGTAATGGAAGCAGATGTGTGCATGAAGCATCTTCAATGATCCAGATGTTTTAGCTGGATCCTCTTGTCCTTGGAATATTGACGCTTAGGGTTTACAGCTCAGGGCTTTGTTTTCTAGGGGAAGGTGGAGGATGTTAAGGAATCTGAGAGATTGGAGCGATGGGCTGTGATTCTCGGTTGTCCTGCGCTTTGTCTCGTCGCTGACACCTGCTATGCAGTGGTGTAAAGCTAGGTGCAGGACAAGGAGGAATCGGGCCCGAGATTTTGGTCATGATTAAACAAATGTAAATCCAGAGTCACTTCACTGACCTCCGTGCCGTGATACTGATATCGGAATCTGGATGTGAAGTTGGAGGCCGGTTTCTGATCTCAGTGGAACTGGTGTCAATCCAGAGTCTCTCCAGTGACCCTCCTCACGTGACTCCACATGAGTGTCACTGGGATCAGAATCTGGCCTAAGGGTGGAAGGAAATGAAGTCGAGAGGACAAGAGCCAAGACACTAACTGAGCCAAACAAAGGGAGTGGGATCTCATGTTGGGAGATGACCCAGCAGGGATGGGTGGGGAAGCCGGCAGCTTGGTGTGGTAATGGAAATGCCAAGGTACAGAGATCCAAAGCAGCATGGAACGGAGATGGAAACAAAGGGTTAAAAGCCCTGGAAGACTAGAGACAGTCAGACTGGTCTCAGCTGCACTTGTGCAAACCCAGAGTGACTCCACTGATGTTGCTCCAGATTTACACCAGTGTAACCAAGAACAAAATCGGACCCGGGTGATAAGCACAGAGGATGCTGGGAATAGGGAAGAAAGAGACGGGGTGAAATTCCCCTGCTGTGTAGAGGGGCTTGCACAGAGCAATTGCACCAGTGACGTCCCACCAAAGCTGTTTTAAAGGGCTTAGTGGTGCACGGACCTCAGCATAGGGCAAACTCTGAACGCATGGTGAATCTGGTGCTAACTGGTTAGTACTTGGACGGGAGACCTCCAGGGAATACTGGGCACTGTAGGCTTGGGGAGGGATAGCTCAGTGGTTTGAGCATTGGCCTGCTAAACCCAGGGTTGTGAGCTCAATCCTTGAGGGGGCCATTTGGGGCAAAAATTGGGGATTGGTCCTGCTTTGGGCAGGGGGTTGGACTAGATGACCTCCTGAGGTCCCTTCCAACCCTGATATTCTATGATTCTATGAAGTCAAATAACAGTGAGAGAACAGGACAAAGAGGAGATCAGAGTATCTTTGTACAGACTTGGAGACCCAGATCCACAGCTGGGCTCAACTTACCCCCAAGCCCAAATTTTGACCCTGAAAAAGGCCATAAAATCCACTAGGGACTTTGCTATTGATCTTATGTGGAAGGTGCCCACATACTATGGTGATGGGTGGCAAAATAACACCCTATGACTGACAGGCGGACTGATGGACAGATGTTACGGCAACTCGCACCAGCTGGGGGGCTAGCCTGGAGGATCTGAGCTCAGAAAGAAAGGCAGTTGACATCCCAGAGGCTGTTAGAGAGATAGGGAGTTACCATGATTGTAAACCTCTGAGCAACAGCATGGAAGCCGGGAGGGGGAGGGGAGACCCCTAATTTTAAAAATAAAAGGAAAAAAAATTAACCACAGATCTGACTTCAAGAGCAAAATAGCATCAATTTCCCCTCCTGCCCCAACAAATCACAGCCCTTTAATAATCTTAGTGCTTTAAAAAAAGAAAAAGTTGAAATCACAGTGACAAAACCTGGCGAGCCCTACAACCCCCCCCCAACCCCTACAGCGACCCGACGTTTCTGAGTACCCTCACACAGCCCCAGAGTTCTCCTCAAACCCAACACACATAGCCATCCTTTTGCAAACGACAACGGCACAGACGGTAGAAAGGACCCAGTATAAAACCCGTGAGGTATTTGTAACCAAAAAGACTTCGTGTTGGTTTGACCTAAAAAACAAACAAACAAAAAAAGGGAGACGAAAACCCGCCAAGCGAGGGGCCCATCGTAATGTTGCCACTTGCAGTTGGGGAGGGCAGGCGGCGGGTCTAGCCCAGGCCCCTCCCCAGCACTGAAGCTGGCATAGGCAGAATTCATACAGGCCCATGGGAGAGACGGCCGGCCAGTTCTAGTATCCACTGGGTGGGGAGTTCCAGACGCACGCACCAGCTGAGTGGGAGAACTCGGTACCAAGGGGGAGGCCATGGCACAGTAACGAATTGCAGGTTTCTGATTCCGGGCTCCCGAGGACACGGGAGGGAAGAAGGAATGAATCTTTGGGGACATGGGAGAGACACCCCCGCACTCTCCCTGGACCCGATCCTCCGCAGCCTTGCACCTGGCCTTGCTCAGATCCTGACACTTGTGCATGTGATCGGTCCCCTTGTGCCCACTTCTCCGTCACCCTGTGCCTGGTGCATTCTGGGCCTGCTCCTGCTCCACTGAAGTCATTGGGAGCATGACCACGGATGGCGACAGGCACAGGGTCAGACCCGCACTGCACCAGTGCGACGGGTGTGAACGCATGACCATTCTGGTTTGCCCTCGCTTTGTACTAGTGACCCGCGTTCATGACTGCACCGGGCGCTGCAGAGGAGCAGGCCCAACGGGACATAAAGCTCAGCGTGTACCTAGGAGTCGGCAGGGTCTGGGCCCTGGTCACTGAGGCATGTGCAAAGTCAGGTGTAAGACGCCAGTGGATCAGAACGGCTGCATCTCACACGCTCGCTTTGAGCTGGCGTGAAGGGGCAGGAAGGTCAGGAATTGGGCCTCTGGAGACTCCAGCAGGAGCCAGATTGGGCCCTTGATGCACGCCCAGTGATGCTGCTCCAGAAACAAAATTAAAGGGGGAGACCAGGACAAAGTTTGCCAGGAGGAAGCAAAAATTATTTTTAAGTCATGTGACTTGGCTTTAGCCCTCTTCTGTGGACAAGAGCCCTGTTCGTGCAGGGGGCCAGCTGGCGTGTTGAAACTAATTCAATCTACAAAGCGGGCGTAAGAGAAATGGACCTGGAGGCCTTCGTCTCTAGATTCAACCAGCTCCGTTTGTAACAAAGCCAAAAACTGGATTTCATTAGCTGCGGCCAGCCCCGGGAACCAGCTGCAGTCTCTGCATGCTTGTCCCCTTCCCGCACCAGCTCTGGAGACAAAAAAACCCGATTCTCCAGCTCCCTGGGTCATCAGTACAAAGGGAGGGCAAAAGACTGCCAGATCAGGAGGGGGAGCCTTTTACACCCGGCTGTGCACCAGCGTGAGGGGCCGTGCGAGGCTCGGGGCGCCGAGAACCAAGGCCGAAGATGCTGTCGCCAGGCTCTGTGGATGGTGCAGGAGGAAGAAGAGAACCTAGCTCAGTCTACAGCAGCCAGGCTCGCCACTGCAGCGTTCATGGGAGCAATTACTTGTTTGCTGGCAGTTACAGGAGCACAGTTGGAGGGGCTGTTTTCGCACCAAACGTGCGTGTGACGATAGGCCCTGAACCAGCAAGGCCGTTAAAGCACACACCTGACTTCCAGCACAAGAGCAGTTCCACTTACATCAACAGGCCAGAATCTCAGCGGGTAAAGTCGGCAGAGCTCCTTTAAAGGTAATGGCCCTACGCTGGGTTACACCCGCTGGGGGTGGGGATCAGAGGAAGGATCGGCTAGTGGTTAGGCTCCTGGGCCTGCGAGATCTGGGTTTGAGCCCCTTCTCCGCCACAGATTCCTTGGGCAAGTCACTTGGCTTCGCCGACCTGTGCTGCAGAACTGGGACAACAGCACTGCCCGACTGCACAGGGGAGCTGTGAGCCCCCCAGACGCTGTGGTGATGGGGGCCACGTAAGTACCTTAAAGAGGTAAAGTTAGGCATGTACCTTGCTGTCATGACCCTTAACAAAAGCAAGAGTCACAGTGGCTTTACTCGCCCGAGGCTGGGGATGATTCCTAGGGCATGGGAGAGATTAGGTGCGTTTTTTTTCCTGTAAATCCCAACTGCTAAACCCAAGCTCAGCCTCCAGACAGAGAACAGCCTGAGGCCTCGGCACAAGGGGGATGAGTCACTCTGCTCAAATCCTGCAATGCAGCACATTCACCAACCTTATCATGGGGGGGGGGAGGGGGGGGCCCTGATTCTCCTGGACACAAAGGCCCCTTTATGCCACTCCGGCGGCGTAACCCTACTTGACATCCACTTTAAGGCCCCCTTACACTGCCGGAGTGGTGTAAAGATGCCCTTGGTGTAAAGGAGGAATTGGACCCAGTTAGTCAAGGAAGCGGAACTGGGCCGGTTTGAGTCACTATTTACAAAAAACACAGGATTCCATTACAAAGCACAGAGATCAGCACACACACAAAAAATCCCTATTTAAAAAACTTTTTAAAACTAGTCTTCTCGCTGTTGTTAAAAAATTGATCTGGAAAACCCCAGAGAAGAGCCAAAGAGGAGGTTCCTATACCAGAGAGTCGGCATCGTTAGTTCGTCTTTTCCTGCCCGCAGGTGGAGCAGGGAGGTTTCGATAGCAGCCACGATACTGGAGGGACGCTTGCAAATGCTCCAAAAGCCTCGCGCGAGGGAATTTACAAAACAAACTCCAAACATCCGGGGGAGTTGTAAAAAAGGCCAGGATCGGGATAGTAATAAAAAAAGGGAAACTGAGAAGGTTCCTCGGACCCAGCTGCATTTGGAGATGCTGGTGAAGGAAGGAACAAAAGTAGCCCTTGAGTTTTGACACCAAATGAGGGATCTTCCTCCTGCGAAAACGCCAGCCTTCGCACGACGCACCTTCCGACCTCCTGGGAGGTTGCTACAAGAATCTGGGTTTTGGAGACAGCAGAGATGGGAAGGGGAAAGGGCTCTGCCCCCAACCCCCAAACGGGGGGCAAGCAGAGATGGAGGAGGGCAGAGAGAGGAGACGGAGCCCTAGGACATGCACGCTGGTTCCGGGAGGTTCCTACAGGGCTCTCCCTGCATGGTGGTCTCTCTGAGCTCCGGTCAAAAAAGGGAGAGTCTTGGAGGGAGCTTGCTCCTCCTCAGGCATAAGCTCATAGCCCAACCCGCCCCCTTTGCAGTTCACACGGAGGTCTCCGACTGCAGCCTCATGACGAACTTATGTGACTTGGGGTCCACAAACTCCTCGGAAAGCTTGAAGAAGGGGATCTTCTTCGTGCTCACCACCAGGCTGAAGTCTTGGCGCTTGAGGACAAAGACTACTCCGTCCTTCAGGCCATTGGTCACCGGCTCCTCGCTGACCAGCGTCCACTGCTTGGCCAGCCAGCGGTCTTTGTGGTACTGGATGGTGGGCCCAGCGCTCAGGTACCTCTCGAGGAAGGCCTGGGGGACAGGAGAAGAGACAGGAGGGGCGTTCTCAATGGATAGTGGTCTTTGGCTGGCTACCTGGTGGGTCAGGCCAGAAGGAGGCCTCGCAGCATTGCCATGGAAACCCACCATCTGCTTGCCCGACTTTTATCATAACGGCAGAGGTGCTGGGGCCAGAACCTGAGCTGGTAACCATCAGTGGAACATGGCCCAAGGGATTCTCACAGTCCCTGAGGCATCAGGCCTCGACCTCTAACCCTGTCCTCCAGCTGTATCCAGGGCTCTGACTGTAGGGAGGGCCCCTTCCAACCGCATTATCCAGCTCTCCTGCCTCCGCAGGGCAGGCTCTCCCAAGGTGCACGGCACCACGCAAAAGACACCCACGATTCTCTCTGCCCCCAGAGGCCGAGGTAGTACGGGATAGCTGGCCAGATCTTCCCAGCATGCACGGGTACAAACCCGGTAAGGAGGGACTGGCCTACGTGGCCGATGCACGGCGATGCTGGGGAACAAAGCTACTGCAGGGTTGTGTTGAACTGCAATAGATGCATCACAGCTTGGGGACTTAATATGTGTCTACCAATGCTGAGGACGCTGGAGCGACAGGCTCTGAAATACAGTCCTACGGTGTAGACGGGACCAGGGCTTTCGGCTGCTGGACTTCTCACCCATAGCTCAGCTACCTCAGTGATGGACGGACCCTCAACCCCAGAGCCAGCCAAGATGGGGAGGAGGAGGAGAAAAGGGGCACGAGGCAATAGCTCAGAATCCATGTTTAACATGGATTCTGGTTTCATGGTCTGACCATGAGCCTGCAGAAGTAATTCTCACGGGGGAAAAGTCTCCAGGGGTGGATTGCAGGTCGAGGGAACAGGGGTGAGTTCGGGTTGGCCCAGGGGAACTGGGGCTTCCCCCATCGACGCCCGAGCTCCCCAGCCTACCCCTCCTCTCACCCCCGCCCGCCTACCTACCTTGGGAGTCATGTCATGGGTGATGCAGAACTCCAGGTGCTGCAGGATGCTCTCCATGGTGTGGTACGGCTGCTGCTTGGTGGTACGCAGGTACTTCTGCATGGCCCGGGCCATGGAGGCGAAGATGGCCTGGGCAGCTTCTCGCGGGTCCATGATCTCCCGCGGGTTCTTCTGGTCCTCCTCCTGCAGCCGCTTGATGTGGGTAAAGGCCTCCTCCACGGCCACCACCAGCCTGGCGGGAGAAAGGAGGCAGTGGTGACCCAGCTGGCGCGGCTTGAAACCCCTGCAGAGGCTCCGGAGCCTGCCCCTGCCCCAGGCTGGCCCAAGGCACCCTGCGCCTCAGAGAGCGGCGACCTTGCTCATAGACCCAGAGTCCTGGGTTCAATCCCCAGTCACGACCCAACCTGTGAGGACTCCAGGGGGATTTGACCTGCTGTGGGTCAAAGAAGCTCAGGGGAAGCGTCCCCGGCCAGGCGGGATGTGCAGCCCATGCTAACGTAGTTGGTCTCTCCGCCTCCCACGCCGAGAGCCGTGCTGCGGGAAGAACCACAGGGCTTGCCTGTGTCCAGCCGCCTCAGGACAGAAGCCCCTTTACAGTCACCCCAGCCCAGCCCTGCCTCCCCTCCACCACTACGGGGCACTGCACCCCCCACCCCCGTCGACCTCCCGTACCTGGCGCGGCGCTTCCGGACCCTGCGCTCGTGCTCGGCCTCCTCATAGTAGTACTCGTTGTGGCTGTTGTCACGCCGCCGGGCGGCCGCGGCGATAACGGCCCGGGACTGGCCCGTCGAGTTGTTCGTTGTGTTTTCTGGAAGGGGAAGGAGGTGGGGGGGGGGGGGTTAGACGCAGGGGGGAAGAGCTCACCGGAGCAGTCGCTGTTCGCTCCCGCCAGGCCCTGTGCTCAGTAGCGCCTCTCCCCGCCCCGGGCGCCTCTGCAGCGGGAACTAGCCACTAACGCAGGCAGGGGAGAGGGCATGCCATGCAGCACCCCGCTGAGCTTTCCAGAGCCACTGGCAAGCAGCACCTGCTCTGGCCCATCCCCCGGGCTGCCTCCGAAAGCCGGGAGCGCCCCAACCTTATAGCACCCCGGCGACCCGTGCTCAGCCCCGCCTGGCTTGCACCCTGTGCAACGAGCTCACCGGCCACAGCGAGCCGCTGTGGACTCGCGCTGCAGCCGGAGGCAGGGAAGACACCTGCTGGGTTTTAAGTCTCTGCAGCTTCGTTCATCAGTGCTGCAGCCTGGTCTGGCACCAGAACACTGGATCCAAACCCCTGGTCTGGAGCTAGATCTGAATGGCACGGGGGTGGAGAGGGGGAGGGGGAAAGACACATGCCCGTTGCCCAGGTTTTTAGGTGGAGCCTACCTTCAAACACATCAAATATTAACAGGCTACCGAAAATCCCACCCTCAGGCCTCCTGCCCCAAAACCTTGTCTACAGTCAGTAAACGGTATCGGTTTAATGACCCGGCTCTAGTTAACCGGGTGTGAGTCCCCTATTTTAGACACATTTAAACCAGTTCAGGTGACGTCGGTAAGTTACCAATAATCTCTGCCCCCGGGGGGAGCGAAAGGTCGGGTATAAAACTTCCGTGTTGGTGTGAAGAAACGCATTCAAATCCGAAGCAATTCCCAGAGAGACAGAGAATAATCCCGCGCTCAGGCAGAGGAGAAAGGAGGGGAGGAAAGTTGGTAATAAAAGGGAGCTTTATCAAATAAAATCAGCTCCTGTTAACCAGAGCCCAGGCTGGGAGCAAGGGGAGAAGTAAGCTGGTCGATTTCACTCCCCCTTGTAACATCACTAAGGTCAACAGAGCTACCGCAAGGTCCGGGGCCGGACAGAGTGTGGGGAAACAAAGAGTAAGAAGAGACAGCGAGGAGGGTGGACGGGAGAGAGACCCAAGCTCACCCTCGCCGAGCGAGTACACCTTGAACCCGGACATTTTCTTAGACAGGACGGATTTTGGCAGGTTGAGGAGGGCGGGGTTGTAGACGGGGAAATCATGGTAATAATTCTCCAGGATCCACACTGCCACGCGCTGGATACTGCGAGAGACACAGCCAGGGTACGGGGAGGGACACAAGATAATAGGTTAGACTCGCGCTGCCGGGGGGGCGTGGGGTAGGGAGGGGACGCACGTACACAGAAGGGGGAGAACAAAAGGGAGACAATGATGTGTTGGATCTTTGAGCCACACATCGCAGGGAGAGGACGCATCGACACGTCACGCCACGGGGCTGGAGCTGTCTGTCCAGTGGCAGCAGCATATACCAGCCACCACAGTACAGACTGACCGACAGCCGGCCCCTGTACGGTGACTACAACTAGACCTCAACTTTGATTGTTTTAGCATTTCGAGGGATAATTTTCCATGGTTGGTTAAGCGTTTGTAAAGACTTTGATTGATTTCTATTTTCACAATCGCAGGACGCAGTGGGGGCGGACAGGTCAGAAAATAATTATTTAACAGCAGTTATTGGAAGTTCAAAAAGCCAAAGCTTTGTAACCGAGATGTCAACATCCCATGCCAGAAGAGGCAAAGTAAATCTCCTTAACTCCAACTCTACGAGGTTCTCAAGCAGCATTTTTCTTATTTGACCTGGCTGCCAATTTCAGTGACCCTGGATGAAATGTTTTCCCAGGTGTGTTTGCATGTGGATAGTGAAATTGACGCTTACCGATATTTACCGATAAAAATCTAATCCTATCAAGCCTCACTACAACCCAGGGGCAGGGGACTCGGCACAGGCCCCAGAAAGGTCCCTGCAGCTGGAGCTAAAGGAGACATGGTCTGGACGAGGCTGTTACCGTAGAGACAAGGTAGGTGAGGAATATCTTTTATTGGACCAAATGCCACGGTTGCCGGCGGGTGCAGATCCATGCAGCGGGGGATGGTAGCACAGGAACGTTCATGGGCGCGCACACGCACTTCCCCCAAGCAGATGTGGGTACAAAATGCATGGGCATGCCTACAAACACACACACACCACTGCCGCCACCCCCCCTTCCGAGATGGCAGCAGGCAGCAGTGTGTGCAAACACACACAGAGGTCTAGTTCCCTCTAGCATAGAGCAACACTTTACACACACACACACACACACCCCTCTTCCCCCCAAGCATGGGGCATACAGACACCCCCCCAGCAGGGGGCAGTAACACACATAGAATCATAGAATCATAGAATATAAGGGTTGGAAGGGACCCCAGAAGGTCATCTAGTCCAACCCCCTGCTCGAAGCAGGACCAATTCCCAGTTAAATCAGGGGGCAGTCACACACACACACTCACTCCCCTTCCCCCCCAGCAGGGGGCAGTAACACACATACATACACACTCACTTCCGTTCCCCCCCGGGGGGGGGTCAATGACACACACACACACACACTCACTCCCCTTCCCCCCCAGCAGGGGGCAGTAACACACATACATACACACTCACTTCCGTTCCCCCCCGGGGGGGGGTCAATGACACACACACACACACACACACCCTTTCTCCCCCAGTCACACACACTCACTCCCCTTCTCCCCCACCAGGGGGCAGTCACACACACTCACTCCCCTTCTCCCCCACCAGGGGGCAGTCACACACACACACACACACACACACACCCTTTCTCCCCCACCAGGGGGCAGTGACACACACTCACTCCCCTTCTCCCCCACCAGGGGGCAGTGACACACACACTCACTCCCCTTCTCCCCCACCAGGGGGCAGTCACACACACACACACCCTTTCTCCCCCACCAGGGGGCAGTCACACACACTCACTCCCCTAGAAGGGGGCAGTCACACACACACACACCCTTTCTCCCCCACCAGGGGGCAGTCACACACACTCACTCACTCTCCCCCCCCCCCCCCAGCCCCGCTGGCGCAGGCAGCGACGTCCCCCTCACCCTCCCAGCCGCCCCGCCCCTCACCTGAGGTGGCCCACGTTGTAGAAGCGGCTGGCCCCGTCGGTGGAGCGCACCACCTTGAGCGTGAACTGGGGCTGGAGCTGACGCAGCTCCAGCAGGACCACGGCCAGGTAGTGGACGAAGAGCAGCGCGTCCACCAGGGAGACGGCGTACTGCACCACGCCCTGGTAGTTGCGGTCGCGCGAGTCCAGGATGCGCACGCCGTAGAAGAGCCAATAGGAGACGACGAGGAGGAAGACGAGCACCATGAGCAGGGCCCGGAAGACGAAGACGCGGGGGAAGAAGGCCTTGGGGCGGCGGAAGAAGAGGGCCCAGCTGCCCAGCAGGAGGATGAGGAGTTTGAAGGCCACGGAGATGAAGAGCCCCTCGCAGGGCGTGCCGCAGGGCTCCAGCTCCTCCCGCCACAGCAGCTGGGGCAGCAGCAGGAAGGCCAGCGGGGTGAGGAAGGAAAGCAGCGCCAGGGCCCCGCCCAGCGAGACGCCCACGTGGCGGGAGCAGTCCAGGCGGGCGCTGTCCTCCATGTCCTTGGTGATGCGCGTGAGGTCATCGTGTGAGATGCTGTGCTCCGAGGTGCCAGTCACCACCGTGGTGGTCTCGCCCCAGTTGTCATCCTAGAGAGGGGCGGGGAGGAAAGGGTTACACATGGGGGGCTGGCCTGTGGGAACAGACTCCGCCACCCCCCTCCAGTTCCCTGGATCAGGCTCTCCCCCCGCCCCCGCCCTGTGGGATCAGAACTACCCCCAGCCCACCCAACCCCCTGCCCTGCAGGATTAGACCATCCAAGCCCCGAAGGATCAGATGCCCATGGCCTGCCTGGCCACGTGCTCCCCTCCCAGCCGTGCCAGATCAACAGATCTAAGAATCAATCCGGTTGATTGGTTTCCAGCCACAGATCTCAAAGCCCTTTGCGAAGAAGGACAAGATTGTTGTTCCCATTTTACAGAGGGGAACACTGAGGCACGGGGCGGGGCAGGCCTAGAACCCAGGCATCCTGTCTCCCTGTGCCGTTCCCAGTCCGGGGGACAGGCTGCCTTCTCCCACAAGTGACGCCTGACCAGCAGCAGATAAACTCTGAAATGGGAATGTCAAAAGTTTTCCACACAAATCCCCTTCGTAACAAGAAGAAAAGCAACTACGTCCACGTACCAGTCCTCCACGCACCCTTCCTCCGCCACGCGAGGCTGCAGCACCCGGTTCAGCACAAGAGGAGAGGGCCTGGAATTCAGCACCCACACCCAGCCCTCTGATTCCAAGGGGTTAATTTTCAAGTCCCATCTCAAAATGCCCTCACTGACAATCAATGAAATCATATCCCTACATCACCATAAGCTCCTGACACCCATAGCACCCCCTTTCCCCAAGGGCTGGTACCACGGGCAAGGTTTGCTGGCGACCTTTGCTGGCTCGGTACGTTTATTTTGGGTGCATGCGCCTGGTAGTACAACGGGCACATCCTTGCTTGGAGACCTCAGATTCACCACAAGCCCTTTAAAGGGGACTTGAAACCCAGACTTCCTCCTCAGGGGGGTGGATATATTCGCTCGTTAATTACCTCCCTGAGCAAAGTCATTACCCCTTTGGGCGTTACTTTGCAGCAGGGGGAGTCAATAGGTGGAGCGTGGGACAAATCCGGATTGGCAGATGCTTTTGAACAGACCCCGAAATCTTTACATTTACTTATCATCATGATTGTTATTTTTTATTATTATTTTCTCTGGAGACTGGACCTTGACCAAGAAATTTGGACCCTGACAAAAAAAAAAGTGGACTTCCCCTGCTTTACAGTGATGGCAAAACACCTGGAAGGCAACTGCAGCTGGCTTCCCCGACTTGCATCTGGTTCCCCATCATAAAACCAGGCCTCTGTCAGCAGAGCTGACTGTCCCCAAGCCGACGCACCCTGCCAGATGTGGGCGTGGAGGGAAACTGTAGGGCATTAGCCAACGCAAATTCCTCTCTGAACCCTGTGATGATGTCTTCATAGAGCAACCGCTCCCCTGGGATGCTTCCTGAGATGAGAGAGGGGATCCAGAGAGAGCCGGCAGGCTGCTGAGAGCAGAAGCCCGCTGATGTCCTTGTTATACACTCACACGGTTACATAAGGGAATCTTGAAAGCGGTTCAACCCCCACAGGGCGGCCTTAGTTACACCGGTAACAAGGGGTTTATCAACTGGGGTAGCGCATTCCTGCAATGCTAGGCCTTGTCCATTATCATTCGATGGTTATTAGTCTCTCACGGTAGTGGATAGGAGTGCCAATCGCGGACCAGGTGGGCGCCGTACGGACACAGGAGAAAAAGATAGGTCTTGCCCCAAAGACCTTACATTAGCAGTGTGTAGCGGGGTCACCATTTACTGGGCACCCCCTCATGGGCAGGAGCACCCCAGCCTTATTGGCGCCCCCTTGTGGGCCCCTTAAGAACTGCGCGTGGGCTTTTACGTGGCTAACACCTCCCCTAAGGGCAAACCACCCGATTACAGAGCGCTTGACCAGTATAGGAATCCCACTATACAATACCAGCAAAGTGCTCCGAATGTGAACACAGCTTATACCAGAAAAGCTATTCCAGCTAAAGTGCAGCTTATCACCCTCTCCCTCCTCAACCCACGAGCATAATGAGCCATCCCAGTACCAAATGCGGCCAGCAGAACTGCGTGTACACTAGAGGCTTCTGCCAGCATGGCTCTGTGGGACAGGGATTGCCGACAGAGCAGTGCTGGCAGAAGTCTGTAGTTTAGATGCAAACTTTTCACCAGCTATCCTGAGATAGTTCTGTCGGTGTCACCCCCTCCTGGGGGCACAGTAAGGCCACGTCTACCCTTAAAAATAGGCTCAGAAGGGTAAATGTCAATTTCACCGGACACACAAACCGAGGAAAAATATTTCCATCGAGGAGCATCAAAATTTACAGAGGGACAAAGTGAGAAAAATGGGGCTTGTGAACATCGTAGAGTTTGACTGAAGGATATTTACTGTTTGTATTTTGACAGGTGAGGTTGACAATTGGAGTTTTAATGGGGATAAAGCTTGAACTTTTGGAATCTCAGCATCTACGGTCATTAAATAATTGTCTGATCGCCGCTCCGTAACTTCCCACATCTGAGAAAATGTAAATCCATAAAAATAAAAAATGCTTAAAAACAAACATTGATATCAGCCACCAAAATAACAAAAAATATCAATTAACTTCTCCCAATCCTCCTTAAAGCACATACCAGCACAGACATGTCACTTCAGGGTGTGATTTTTTTTTAACTGTCAAAACTAAGACAGAATAAGCAGCACTGGACACGCAGTTACATGAGCATAAAAGGCCTTTTCCTGGTCTGGCTTATTTCATTTGGGTATAAGCTATATTGGCAAACCCTTTCTGGTGCAGACGAGCCCTGAGTCGGGTCTGAGGGTAGCTCTTTCCATTTTAGCTCAGACCCTGTCCCAAACGACACAACATACACCGAAAAAATCACCCCCTGCTATGAAGAGTAAGGAGAGTCCACACAGGGAATACTGTGTTCTGGGCTCTGCTTCGCCAGACAGCTGTTGACAAATTTAAATCAGGCAAAAGCACAACGACAAACTAAGGGGGTTGGCGGGACTGACTCAGATTAAAAGAGCTCAGTTTGTCTATCTTGGCTTAGGGAGGATTAAAACAGGGGACCTAAATCTACAGCAATCGGGGGACTTCCTCTCCTCTGACCTGATGCATAGCACAGGCCGGAGAACTGTAGCCCCTGGTTGGTCAGGGCGGTAACTTCCAGTGGGAGACCCGGTCTCCTTGTGATGTGTTTGTACAGCCCCTGGCGTGACGGGGACCCCCTAGGTGCAACGAGAATACCAACAGCTGTAACTGCCGTCGGGTTACTCCGTTCAACCGCCGGGGGAGCAGATTCTGCTCTCATCCCAGTCCAGGAGCTCCCTGGAATTTTCACCCCTACACAATAAACCTCAGGCCCTTCCACAGGCTGGCTCAGGGGATGGTGAATAGGAGCTGCAGGCTTTCACCGCCAGGACCCCGGTTCAAATCCAGCCAGGGGCCGGCCCTTGCGGCTGCTTTGGCCAGGCTTGGCCCTGTTCCTAGAGGGGACAACGGCCCGAGGAGATGGTGTTCAGAGCCGGCTGGAGAGAGGCGGGGACTGGCAAGGGGACTGCATGGTGGAAACTGTTTGCCCGCCGCCTGTCTATGCATGGTCTGCGGTTAGAGAAGCTGGGTTTCCCGAGCTTCCCTCCCAGCAGCTGGGCCCCGGCAGGCCACACTGTGGCCGTCCAAGCTGTTTGAGCCCCTGAGGTGCAACCGGAGCAGAGCTGCTGGGAAACGCGAGTCCCTGTGCACCAGAGGCTGCTGCGTGGGGCGGGGACCCCGCCAAGGGTCCTGGGAAACACACCGGTCCCCTCACGCTGCCATGCGCCCGCCAGAGCTCCCCACCAGGAAGCTGCAGAGGGGGCACACTCCCTGCGCGCCCCTTCGACGTCCAGCCCGAGAGCCTCGGTGCACAGAGCCGGTGGGGACCCACTGCAGGAGCCTCCACGCGCGCTCCATCCCCCCAAGACCCAGCCTGGGGCTATTGCAGTTTGGCACTTCCCAGGCAACGCTGAGCAAAGACCGGGAGCCGGTCCCAGCGGTGCTTTCCCACCCCCCTGCCTGGCCACTTCCACTGTCAGCTGCCACGGGCACTGCTGAGAGCCCCCAGCCTGCAGAGGGCAGGGGACCCAGGCCAACGCTCTCGAAATAGGGGCCAAGCTGCTGTGTCTTGCCTCACCCCTAATTCAGGGGCTCTGGGAAACAGCCTGGTTCTCAGTCACACTCTGGCCCCTCTACCTGGCTGAAGGGGTCTTAAAGTAGGTGAAAACAGCCCCCTAAGATCCCCCCTCCCCGTGCACAAGGGGGCTCCCTGGCTGGTGTGAAGCTGGGATAAGGGCCCTGGCTCCCAGCCCCTTGCATAGGGGGTGGACTGGGACCGTGGCTGGATCACGCTGCACTCTGGGTATTCTCTGCTGTCCCAGGGCCCAAAGTGTGAATCCAGAGCAGCCCTGAGGCTGCTCTAACTCATCCCAGGGGCCCTGAGGGTAGCCCCAGAATACGGGGAGTATAAAGGTGTGTGTGTGTGTGGGGGGGGTTTGAAGCCATCCTGCTTCCATTCACCACCGCCCTGTGTACGGGGCTGGAGGAACTGAGAATCAGAACCAGAGTGTTTTGGGGGGTGAGGTGAGCCCAGTCGCCCAGGCCACTGTCTGGGCCAGGGGAGCCTCGCTGAGCCACCCCAGGAGGAGTCCTCCTTCCCTCCCCTCTCATTTTCCCACAGCGTGAAGGAGGCAACAAGGCTTCAAAGCCCCCGCCTCGGTTTCTTTGGCAACGGGGAGACAATGGGCATGTAGTCCCCAAGGCTCCTCCCACCCCCCCATCACCTCCCACCCCAGAGACGAGGGAGGAGCAAAACACAGACCCCGCCTCCATCCCTTGATGCTCTGTACACCCCCTTTCCCACCCCCCCAGAGCAACGTGCTAGCCCCACCCCCTCAGCCTGGCGCTCCCCACTCACCCTCTCATCTCCTCTGGTCGACTCATTATCCAGCAGGGGCTCCCCCGGGGCCTGGATGGTCACCGACTTGTCTCCCCGGCTCCCGTCCCGGCTTTTGGAGCGGTGCCGGTCCCGCCGGTCTCTGGAAGGGAGCGAGAGAGACGCCGGGGGTCAGAGGGGGAAGTGCAGGGGCTGATGGGGGCACGTCCCTCCCAAGGATGCACGCTGTGGAGGGGGGGGGGGGGAATCCTCCCAGACCCCACACAAGGGAGTCTCCCTTTCCTCCATGCACCACCCTGAAGATAGACAGCAGGGGGGGAATCTCTCCACGAGGACAGACGTAGGGGGAGCCAGGTCCCGATCTTCCCAAGGCTGCACAAGGCCTTCCTGACACCCCCCCCGAAAACACACACATCTCCCCAAGGGCAGATATAGTCTGGGGGCTTCACCCCTCTCCCATAGGGTCGGGGGAAGGGGGGGCAGCTTCCTCCTCCCCACGGGCAGATGTGTGCGCACGGGGAGGTTGCACACAGGGAGTAGGGCATTCTTCCCTGCCCCCCCTCCAGGACGGATGCAGGGTTGGGGGGGAGCCCCCGCCATGGGTTCTCCTGAAGTTGCACATGGGGTGAGGCACCTCCCCCGCCCCCGCCCCACCCAGGTTCGTTCCACCCGCCCCCTCCCCAATCCTGAGGGCAGATCTCGGTTAGCCCCCTTGAGCCAGCTTAGCTCCCCTCCCCCCCAAGCCAGGTCAGCCCCTCTTCCCTCCCCCGACTCACAGGCCCAGGTGCAGGGCTCCCCCCCGGCCCCCTCACCTGTGCTTGCGGGAGCTGCGCGAGTGCCCCGACTTGTAGGAGTACCCCGAGTACTGCGACTCGTTGTCCATGTTGTCAGAGCACCGGGCCTTGTAGCGCTCCACGTTGACGGACTTGGGTCTCCCGACGGGGACAGCAGCCAAGGCGGCCGCTGCCTCCTTCAGCGCGGGCTTCTTCAGGCCCAGGGGCACCTTCAGGAAGTCGACTGTCACCTTGAGGGACTCTATTTTGATCAGCTGGCTGGGCTCCTCTCAGAAGAAAACGACGCCCTGCTGGGGAAGGGTGGGAGAGAATTAAGGCTCCCGGAGGGGATCCCCACCGGGTCTCAGACTAACTCCACCCTCCCTAAAAATCACAGCGCGCCGAGCCAGAGGGAGCCCCAAGGTCTGTCAGAGTCCAGCAGCCTTGACAGAGAATCCCCTGAGCCATCCGCTACCGGTGAGAGAGACCAGCAAGATGGAGGGATAATGGGGAGACGGCCACTACGAACAGTAGAAGCTGCAGAGACGGCGGCTCTTGCACCGGCTGAGAGATTGCAGGGAGAGGCAGGAAATACCGCTGGGTCGCCGACAAGGTCTTCCAACACAGCTTCCAAATTCCCCGATTTCTAGATGTAATTCTGACATCTTGATATTTGTAAGGTTTTTTTTTCTTATTTTCACCCATTTAAATGTTTGTGTCAAAAGACACAAGTTAAGCAGCCTTCACTCAAGCTCTCAGGAGTTCTCAAACAGCAAGGGTCTGACTCTGCCACTCTGTGAACTCCCACGATTCTCAGTGGAAATATTGCCTCCTCAGTTTGCACGCGTGCAGCGAAATGAACATTTCCCAATAAAAATCAAATCCTTCCAAGCTGACACTTAACATTTCCTGCAACAAACAGTGACTCCTGGCTGCTTCTTTTCCTCCGACCCCTTTTCTTAGTTAGGAGAAAGCAGTTTTTGTTTATGGGAAATGAAACAGCTCAATCCCAACAATCCTTAGCCCAGCCCTAGGGAACAAAGTGAAAGGTCCCTTTTCCCCGCGCCATCCCACGTCCACCTCCGCCCATCTTCCCCCAGACATTAGCATCAGTAGAAAAGCACTCCCTTGTCAAGAGGCATTTTTAAGTCACTGGCTTGGGACCTAGGAGAGTTGGGTTCTATTCCCAGCTCTCGCACTGGGTCCCAGTGTGACCCTCGTAAAATCACTGTCTCTCCGTGCCCATCTGTCTTCCCCATTTCAACTAAGCCCTTTGGGGGCAGGGTCTAGCTCTCACGATGCGTCAGTGCGGTGGCTGGTACAATGCGGGCTCTGGGTGCTCCGTAATACATGTCATCATTCATAACGCATTCGTAGCGGCTAAAATAATCTGTAAGCGTTAAGAAAAATAAGGCAGGGTCCGATTCTCCCTTCCACTAAGGTCCCTTTACACCATTTTGGCAGGGCAAAGGAGCCTTGAAGGGAGTGAAAGTGAGAATCAGGCTCCGATCAAACTAGCTCCCAGCAATAACTGACACGAACATGTTACACTTGTTTGGGCTATTTCTCTCAGGGCATTTTCTCTTTTAGCATCAGCTAGAACCCTGCACTCTCTGCCCTTTTATAAACAACACTGAAAGAGGAGCTTTTTCATGCACTGTTTCATGTAATTTATGTTTTAATTAATATCCTGATTGTAATTTTAATTGCCAGGAGAGCACCCAGGGCCAGGACCAACTTACAAATAATTTACTCAGCAAGGGCAGTGCTTCAGACCCATTTCAAAGCGGCAAGACGCTGTTAGAAGAAGTTTCCCGGCACAGACACGGAATCTCAGATCCAGAAGATCAATGCCGGAGTTTTGGCTTCTGCAAAGAACGCCGGGAAAAGCTCCTGGGCCCGATCCCGCAAAAGGTCCAGAGCGTGGAATTCACATTTAAGTCACTGGGAGTGGCGCAGGGGAAATGCAGTTTGCGCCCTGATTTGTGGGCTGTTCAACCCTAGTACCAGAGTAGCAGCCGTGTTAGTCTGTATCCGCAAAAAGAAAAGGAGGACTTGTGGTACCTTAGAGACTAACAAATTTATTTGAGCAATGAAGTGAGCTGTAGCTCCCGAAAGCTTACGCTCAAATAAATTTGTTAGTCTCTAAGGTGCCACAAGTCCTCCTTTTCTTTCTGCGAACCCTAGTACCATTATTCCTCATGTTGCGGTAGTGCGCCGTGGCTGCGGCTACTAGCCAAGACCTCACCACCGTACACTAGGTACAGCACAGAAATGGACCAGAAACACGATCCCTCCCCCAAAAGCTTACTGCCAGGGAACTGAAGCACAGAAAGGCGAAGTGACTGGCTCAGAGCTACACAGGGAGTCTGTGGCAGAGCAGGGAACTACATGCAGGTCTTCCAAGTCCCTGATTAGGACCCTAACCCCTGGCCCACCCTTGCAGTGGGAAGAAGCCTTAAAAGGGGTAGAAATTCATTAAATTCACTTCCAAGTCCTTTTTAGAACCACCCTCTGAGAATCAGGACTTGTGGGTTCTGTTCCTGCCTCGGGAAGAGAAGTGTGGTCTAGTGGTCGATACACAGAGGAATGGGAATCAGGAGACCTAGGCTCTGCCACTGACTCTGTGTGTGAAGCTGGGCAGGCCACGTCACCACCGTGGCCTCAGTTTCCTCATGTGTAAAATGGGAGGAGATAGGGGAGAAATAACACAGATCAGCTTTCATTATCAGACTCTGCAAAATGCCTTGAGATTCAGAGCTATCCCAGGCTGGAGAAAACAGGGATGGAATAGGTTAGACACCAAATTCAGATTTTTTGGTAAAAGTGTGGGGGAGGTAGGATGGCTGTAACAAAACCATATTAATATAAAATACACTCTAATAAAGGCTCTCTGTGCTGTAGGCCTGGTAGCACAGTGATAGGCTACTCGTCTCTAAGGGGAAAAAGATCAGGAGTTCAAATCTGGTGGTGTAAGTGAAAATGTCTGAAAAGCACATCCACGAATCAAGGCAGCAGAATGGCTGTTACGAATGAAAGTGACCGAACTAGCATGCCGCCCTTCCAAGCTGAGTGCAGCATCAAGAGTGTAGGAGAATAGCAATTAGAGGCTAGAATGTGATATCAATTGATTTCACTGGAGTGAGAACAGTAAATGAGCTAGCTGCTAGATCATTCACTGGTCTCACGCTAGTGAAATCCATTCATAGCAGCTGGGAATCTGGCCCTAGATTTAAAAAGAATTCTTTATGAAGTAACAATCTGAGGATTCAGCGGCACCTAAACAAAGGAATTTAAACACCATTTTTAGATGCAGGATGGCCCATTCAGTGGATAACATATGGAACAGGTCATAATAAATGGTATCAGGGCAGACTGAAACCAGTTGTAGGTTGCCAGCCAAACTCAAGTAGGGCTCAGCCCCTCTGAAAAAATCACACCCCAGCTGCTTCAGAAATAAACGCACCCCAAATCAGCTACGACTTTTGAAAGCTTTGCCCATGGTTGACACAAGGGGTTAGGGAGGGAGAAGCCACCAGGACAAACCAGTGACTGGCAGGCTGGGGAACGAACCACCAGCTGCAGGGAAGGAAAACGGGCAGAAATCAAACCTCTGTTTGATAGCACGCGTCCTGCGGCACCCATACCTACTGCTGCCAGGTCATCGAAAACATAAGCAACCCGATTATTCCAATTAAAGTTATACATATCCACACGTGCCAATGTAATTGTTATTTAACCCTCCCACCCCCCTCAGCATTCCCATCCAGGTGCTCCTCATCAGACCAATTAAGAGGGTGGGGTCTTGCTCCTGTCTCTTTCCAAGTTACAAACAGCTAGGGGACCTTCTTGTGGTAAGCCCCGAACGTGGTTTGTTTCACAGAGTTCTGCCTGTCACCTTTACAGCCTCGTGCAGCCCTCAGCTCCCATGGCCAGAGGGAAGGTATCTTCCCTCTCTCGCTCCTTTGCGCTTCCTTGCTGGGTCTCCTCTACCCTCTGCCTCGGGACTAATTAGTCTCTTTGCTCTCCCCTGATCACCCCAATCCATCAAGTAGGCACAGCTCTTCTTAACGAGGTCCACTTTAGAGCAACTCATTGGCATTGCCGTGGCGCTGAATTCCAGCTCTGTCACGAGGCCCCAACGAGCCAGGGACTGCGCAGGGACATAGTGCAATACGATCCTTGCCCTGAAGATCTCATCCCTTGAACAGCCAAGACAAAGGGCGCACAGGAGGTAAACCGAGCTACTGATCTCTCCAGAGCCGGCAGCAGAATGCCAGGTCTCCTGGCGCACTAGCCAACCGGTTACGTTGCCTCCAAACCTACTAGAAAAGAAAAACAGGCTTTGATTTGCTAACTGAGTTATCAGGCCTGGAACCCTTCCTGAACAGAGCCACCAAACCCCACAGAGTCAATTTCACACTCGTTTCTCCCACTACAACTACACTTTGGAGAAAAGGGTCTTGCAACATGCCCCGGATACTACTAGCCCAGTAGGAACTGCGTGTGCATCTAGGAGCCCCCTCTCAGGAATAACGGTGAATGCTGCAAAAGAGAATTGGACCCATTAAGGGTGGGAAATTGCTTGGGACTCGTAGCTGCTATCCCTTCGCATAATGAATAGGCCAAAGATGTACCTTCACAGAGAGGCTTCTGGGTCCTTTAAGAGGCAGATTGGCCTAGTGGATAGAGCACTAGACTAGGACTCGGAAGATCTCATTTCTATTCCTGGCTCTGCCACTGGCCTACTGGGTAAGCTTGGGCACAGCCCTTCCCTGTCCTGTGCCTCAGTTTTCCCAGATGTACAATCAGAGCAAATGACACCTCCTTTGTTAGAGCACGTCAAGAGCTACTGATGAAAAGTGCTCTATGAAAACTAGGGATTATCATTAAAGAACCATCTCCATCCCCTATTGCTGGGACTAGGACCTGACACCAGGGGGGGCTAGTCACAACCCTTCCATCCATGTTCGTCTGCTAAAAGGGGGGGGAGCACAGGCAAAGCCAGTGTGGGGGAGTCATGCTGTCCCGGTGAAGGAGGTGACGAAATCCTGGCCAGGATCCATAGGCCAGGGGAAGTGGGAAGCTGCTGAGACCCCACCCCAAGCTGCATGTGCTTGGATGACTCTCAGCTGCTTTTTAATTACAAAGCAGCACCAGTTACCATGCCAGGCCTCCAGGTATGGATCACATGATCCAGCCAGCTGCTTGCACCAAATACCTGCCCACACGCTGCTCTTTCTGGGATGGGTGTTGCAGACCACGCTCCCCCCGTGGCTAGGATGGGAGGGCAAATCAGCACTGTGACTCCCACCAGAAGCTGTGGAGACCTCCCCCACCCACCCCAACTAGGTAATCTGATCTTTCACAGACGGTTTGATGAGCACAGAGGGGTGTGAAAAAAGTTACCATGGTGTCATCAGAGCACGAGGGTGCAGAGGCAATGACCCTTCGCGCTTACAGCTCCCGCTGCGTGAGGATCTCAAAGCTCTTCTTGAGTTAGTTAGAAGGGTGGCTTGACATGCCATAAGCGTGCTGGCAAAGAAACCGATCCACCCCACCCCACCTGCGGTATCTGTCAGAGGCAGGGAAGACCCTGCCCCCACTCCAGAAGGATGCTTGGGGTTTGACCTAAATTATTAAAAAGTAAATAACAACTGGTGTAGTGCGGGCTGTTATCCCTGGTACTTCCTCCTTTGTGGGTGCGATTGCCCCCTTGAGTTTCAGTCCCTGAGGTCTCCTCCAAACCTCAAATCTAAACTCTGCGTGTAGATCAGATCACAGCTACTCCCTTTACAGCTGATTTAATGATTTAATGAGTGTGCATGGGAAAGCCACACTGCGCTGATTTAATGAGTGTGCATGGGAAAGCCACACTGGTCCCAGCTAAAGAGTGACTCCAAGCTAATCTAGATAAACCAGGGCATCCTTCCTGGAGAAGGAGGGTGGTCCCCCATGTCCCAGGCTAACTCCCTATGTGACGGTGGGCAAGATGTTTAGGGCCAGAATTTTAAAGGTATTTAGGTGCCTAAAGATGCAGATAGGAATTTCTAAAAGCAAAAATCAACAGGAGTGAGATGCCACAGCCAGGACCCTCAGAGCCAGGACTCCGGGGTTCCATTCCTGGCTGTCAGAGTGCCGTATTATCTACCACTGACCCTGTTCTGAACTCTAGGCCAGCGGCTCTCAACCTTTCCAGACGACTGTCCCCCTTTCAGGAGTCTGATTTGTCTTGCGTATCCGCAAGTTGCACCTCACTTAAAAACGACTTGCTTACAAAATCAGATATAAAAATACAGCAGGGTCACAGCTCATTGTTACTGACTCTCTCATTTTTACCATGTAATTATCACACACATCGACTGGAATATAAATCTTGTACTTACATTTCAGTGCACAGGACACAGAGCAGCATAAGCAAGTCATTGTCTGTGAAATTTTAGTTTGTACTGATGTTGCTAGTGCTTTTCATGTCACCTGTTTTAAAACTCAGTAAATATCTAGATCAGTGGATGAACCCTCTGGAAGACCTCTGTGTACCACTGCTTTAGACCAGACTCTGCTCTCGGAGCCAGGAATGCAACCCAGGAGTCCTGAGGTCCTGTTCCCCTGCTTAAACCCTTTCTGTCCCACTCTCTCCTCCCCAGAAGTGGAGCCCCAAACCCAGGAGTCCTGGTGCATACTGATTTGGATCTGCATGCAAAGGCATGACAGAATGCTATCAGCCTGAAGAAGGAACAAGAGCAGGTGTTAACAGAAGTTCTCTGGTACTCCTGGATTTCTAGTTTATGTAAGATCCTGGCCCAGGCCTGAGTTTAACACCAAAGGGGGGCGATGGTGGGGAAATCAGCCAGCCCAGAGGCCTCAATGAACATGGGAGCAGGAGGGGTGGGAACGTGCGGGACACACACACACAGCTTGGCTTGTCCGTGTTCGTATCCTTGAGGTTTAATGGGGCATAGAGGGTGGTGTGGGGGAGGGGAGGCAGAAACAGCGAGGGGATCTCCACCTGGAAGATTTTGGGGGGCACAGATGGGAGAGGACAGTCCCACTGCGAGAGGGCGTTTGAATCAGGACCTGGAGCCATTCAAGGTGATAAAGAATTGCCCGGCCCGAAGTTGTTGCAAAATCCAGTCAAATAATTCCTCGCAAATCTTCCCCAGAGACGAGCTCTCGGGCCCCCAGAGAGCCCCCCCCGGTGGCTGACAGACTTGCTCGCCTGTCAAGGGGCTGCCCATGTGAGCAAGCGGATTGAAACCCCACACGCCTGATTCAAGCAGGGAGATTGAAACCCCACATGCCAAGGGCAGTTGCTTGATTCAAGCGGGGAGAGGGTGTCTCGGCAGATTTCAAACCCTAAATCCAACCCCAGACCCCTCCCCCATTCAGGGAAAGCAGTAATCAGACCCCCCCAGTCCTGCCCCCTACTATTCAGACCCCAACTTCATCCCTCGCAAAAATCCTCCTTAAATTCTGGGGTAGGCGATACCCTACCATGGCTCCCCCAACGCCCGTGAACCCCGTTTTCTTGCCGAGGCCGCGTAGGGCCCGTTGTGGGTAAGAGAGAAACCAGGCTCAGGGCTGGGGGCAGAAGGACACAGAGAGACGAGTTACCACGGAAATGCCATTTCAGTCAAATAAAACCCAAAATGTCTTTTGGCCTCTCCCAAGGCCCCTCTGCTTTGGGGAGGGGAGGGTGGGAGTCTTTTGTCCCAGATGCTGGATTCTCTCACATTTATCACTATGGAAACAAAAGCCCCCCCACCCCGGTTGTCTAGGAGATGGCATGGAGGCCGGGGAGCTTGCATCCCAGTGTCCCAAGCGGTGGGGGAAAGGGGAGGGGGGAGGAAACACAAGCAGAAAGAGGGAGGGCCTGACCCCCTCCCCCCATGTCCCCCTTTTGGGGCTTTGTCTGAAAGGAGGAATCGGATTTCTGCAGGGAACAATGGGGTGCACAGCCGAGGCCGGTGGAGAAGCAGCCCTCCCCGCGCAGGGGACGCCTGCATCACCGGCCTATTGACTAGCGCCAGTAGATTTACGCCGGGGCCGTGTTCCCTGCGGTCTGTTCCCCACGCCAGCAGGGCCTGCAGGGATACAACGTCCCGCGCCCCCGTCAACAGCACCGGGCCTGCGCATGCCCCCTTGCACGCAGCCCCCCCTCGGCCCCCTGAGCCGCACGCATGTGCGACTGCGCACGTGAATGCATCCTCTCACAAGTGCATCCCCCCGCCCACACAGACCTACACCCAGACTCACCCGTGCATCCCCCCATGCCCCGGGACACACATTCACATGTCCACCCCCTTGCACTAACCCTGTCATAGCTCCATTTGCAGCCCCACCCTTAGTGCACACCTGTACATGGATTCACACGCATGCACACGCCCCCCCCCCTTTGCAACTCCACCCCCCGCCTTTGCACACCTCCCCAGGCACGTCTGCACATGGACACACTCTCCAACATGCATGCACCCCAGGCACCCCGCCCCCTAGATTTTCACCCCCATACACCAGTGCAAACTGAGCCCTATCCCCCTCACCACGGCTCCCAGCTCAGATGTCACCACAGAAATTGGTGACACTCACCTGGCTGGGAGTTAAAGACAAATCCTGGGTAGTGACCAATTGCAGCTTCCTTTAAAGAAGGAGCCAGGGGAGACACACCAGAGGAAAGGAAGGGGAAGGCCACCCACTTTCTGAACCTAGGAGTCCTGCCCCTGCACACGTGGAGGGAACTCACCGACTCAGTGGCGCAGCGGGAGGGGGTTGGGTGCGGCGACAGAGAAGGGTCCTGTCCCTCCTGGTCTGATCAGTCGCCGAGACGCCGGTGCATCCCGATCTCGCAAATGAAACCAGTGGCCAGATCCCAATTCCACTTGGTCCGGCCAGCTGCGCGACTCCACATCTGGAGCAGCTTAGGCACTGGGCTTCTGCTCCAGGGTCCCGCCGGGAAGCTGCAGGAAACCCAGAGAGACAGGAAATCAGCAGATGAAGGCCCTGCTGCAGCCGATACGACACCAGGGTACCCAGGCCTGGCCCAGGAACCCTGGAGACCAAGCAATGATCCAAAGAACTTCCCACTGCTCTAGCCCTGCCCAGCTCCAGCGTCCACCAGGGGCTGGGCTGAGACGCAGCAAACTCAGTGCATGTAAGCCACCAAACCATGAAGTGATGGGAAGATATTTAGGGAACAGGCAGTCAGGTGTAGAGGACAAAGGCTACACCGATGCCCCGGTACCAATGCCCTGAGCCCCCCACAATTCCCTCTGCCCCAATGAGCCTGCCAGGCTGGTTAAGCCAAGAATCCTTAAACTGTCCCCAAGCTGTTTAAGAAACACCAGCTTCCTTCTAAGGGCGAAGCCAAAATTTTGCAGAACCGACCGCTAATTCTGGACATCCAACCCCACACCTGGGCAACAGACTCCCGCGGGACAGGAGTGAGAGCCACAGAAGTAAATAAAAGGGGCACTAGGTGGCAGGTTAGGTGCCTGAAATGCCGGGCCACTTCCTCAGCTCCTGCCGGCTCCATGAACAGCCCCCAAGCCAGCCATCATGAGAGCCGGCCAAAACGTGTCCCTCAAAACGTCTTTCAAGGGAAACTGGCTTTTCCCACCAACATGAACCTGTTCGTGGTTGCCAAAACGTATCCTCAAAATGAAACACGTTGGCTAGATCTGAAACTAAACAAAAAGATTTCACTTCTCCTCTTTTAGTGGGAGAGCTTCCGTGGGGGAACAAAGAGGAAGGATGAAAAACAAAAACATGGGCCTCTCTCTTTTTCTGTATTTATCTGGCAGAAACATGCTCCATTTTCCAACCAGCCCCAGCCGTCATCAAAAGCCTTTTCTACCCACAGAGGGTGCATGGCTCTAACTCTGCTGGTATCTTTAGAGCCGCACAAGCCCTTTACAACGATATGGGTGCAAACCTGGCGTACGGCTGCAATTCACCAAGTGTACAAAAAAGCCAAAATATGGCTGAAAACTTCCAAACTGGGCCGTAACAGGCAGGGAACCCCAGCAATGATTCAACCTGGGGACAGTCAGAACAAAACACGTGCTCAGCCCTGCTTGTGGCCGCTTCCATCACTTCACACTGACTCAGCAGACAGTCTAGCCATCCGAGTGACAAGTCTGGAATCGGATTATATAAAGATGCTTTTCCTGGTGTAGCTATTCCCACACAGTAAGGGGAACCAGGCCTCACGGGCATAGTTATACAGGTAGCCTATACCAGTAATTGCTCCTCTTGCGGACAATGCTTTTGCCCGTGGAGTTATACCAGCTCCCCCGACCCACATAAGACAGACACCTGGTAAAATTTCCTACCCAGCTCTAAACCCCATCCCTGTAAGATCAGGGGAAGCGGAAAGCAGTATAAAATCATAGCAACATAGGACCGGATGGGACCTTGAGTCCAGCCCACTGGCACTGAGGCAGGGCCAAGTAAACCTAGACCATCCCTGACGGGTGTTTGTCCAACTGGTTCTTTAAAAATCTCCAGTGACTGAGAGATCACAACTTCCCTTGGAAGCTCGTTCCAGAGTTTAGGTGCCCTGAGAGTTTGAAAGTTTCTCCTGATATCATAGAATATCAGGGTTGGAAGGGACCTCAGGAGGTATCTAGTCCAACCCCCTGCTCAAAGCAGGACCAATCCCCAACTAAATCATCCCAGCCAGGGCTTTGTCAAAACTTCTAAGGAAGGAGATTCCACCACCTCCCTAGGTAACGCATTCCAGTGCTTCACCACCCTCCTAGTGAAAATGTTTTTCCTAATATCCAACCTAAACCTCCCGCACTGCAACTTGAGACCATTGCTCCTTGTTCTGTCATCTGCTACCACTGAGAACAGTCTAGATCCATCCTCTTTGGAACCCCCTTTCAGGTAGTTGAAAGCAGCTATCAAATCCCCCCTCATTCTTCTCTTCCGCAGACTAAACAATCCCAGTTCCCTCAGCCTCTCCTCATAAGTCATGTGTTCCAGTCCCCTAATCATTTTTGTTGCCCTTCGCTGGACTCTCTCCAATTTTTCCACATCCTTCTTGTAGTGTGGACACAGTACTCCAGATCAGGCCTCACTAATGTCGAATAGAGGGGGACGATCACGTCCCTCGATCTGCTCGCTATGCCCCTACTTATACATCCCAAAATGCCATTGGCCTTCTTACCAACAAGGGCACCCTGCTGACTCATATCCAGCTTCTCGTCCACTGTAACCCCCCTTGCTGCAGATTAAGCCCATTGCTTCTTGTCCTACCTCCAGTGGCCGTGGAGAACAATCGATCCCCGTCCCCTGTAGAACGGCCCTTCACACATTTGAAGACTTTTAGCTGGTCCCCGCTCAGTCTGCTTTTCTCAAGACTAAACCTGCCCAGGTTTTTAACTTTTCCTCCTAGGTCAGGTTTTCAAACCCTCTGACCATTCTGCTGCCCTCCTCTGGACTCTCTCCAGTTTGTCCCCATCTCTCCTGAAGTCTGGTGCCCGGAACTGGCGTGAGCTTGTTAGTACCCACGACAGTTCTCCAAAACCTCATCGGCCACAAGCCTTTCAATCCAGACCCTGCAGTTGCACAACCCCAGCCCCTAATACAGTTTAAATATTTGAAATGCAGCCCCCCACCCAGGTCTGGGCCCACACTTAGTCTTGGGGAGACAGTGATGCCTCATGATAGTGCATGGAGGACTCCAGGGTTCCAATTCTGGCTCCGCAACTGGCTTGCTTGGTGACCTTGGGCAAGTCACTTCGCCGCCCTGTGCCTCAGTTTCCCCACCTGTAAAATGAGGATCATGACAGCAACTACCTTTGTAACATGCTTGGAGATCTATGGATGAAAAGCATGAGAGAAGAGCTAGGGAGGGGCCCAAGTTTTGCTTTGAATTTCAGGTTCATTCAAACCAAGAAACACAAAGGGCAAAGACCTGGCCAAAGCAAACCCACTAACTTCCATGTCACGCTGCTAAGGTTCAAAATAACACCCAGAAAGAGAGACTTGGATGACAGCAGGTTCAAAGAAGTTATTGATCTGGGATCTCACTGGGATCTGGGCGCTCCACATACATAGGCTGAGACAGTGCCTGTCCCGAAGAGCTTACCACTGAAACGGGCAAGGCAGGATCATTATCCCACGTGTACTGATGAGGAAATGAAGCGCAGAGGTATTGCGGAGAAGCAGCTGCCCAGCTGGGAACTGAATGCAGATCTTCCCCGTCCCTGGCCAGCATCTTAACCCTGCAGCTTGCCCATGGCGCACGTCTGATCTGCATTTTGCAGGGACAGGCCGCAAGATAAACACCCTGCCGGGTGCCAGACAGAGAGGTGAACACGGGTCTGCAGCAGGCGAACCGCAGGCCTCGTTCACGGCACAGAGCAGCGGCTCTGGTTCACAGCCAGGCCACGTGAACACTCCAGCAGATTAGCACCGGCGTTAAGGGGCTCGATTGCCTGTTGGGGCTGGGAGTTTGCAGCCGCTCTCATGCCCCAACACCCAACGCGCTGGCTCAGCCGCACGCAACACTCTTTGGGCCGGGCCCAGCGGCTGCAGGAAACCTGGCCAGCGGTTTGTGGCATAGCACAGGGGAAGCAAGCGAGCCAATCTGCGCTGGTGAGAGAGGGCAGAACCCCTCCCCAACCCCGATCCCCCCCACTCCCACTGAGGTCACTGTCAAGGGGCCTAAAGGTGAGTACACCTGTAACTGATGCTCGCTTTACGGCCCCGAGATAGGGCAAGCCGCTGCTGACAGGCATTGTTTCTAGCACCCATGCGGAGCTGGCTGCCTTTGCCAGCGGCGGGCATCCTCACCGCACAAGGCAGCATGGGCAAACAAGGCGCTGCATGTGGGCAGCATCCCGGTGCCTCCCCCCCCCCACCCAATCCCCCTCCCCCCAAAAGATCTAGTGGTTACAAAGACCAGGCTGGCTGAATAGGAGGTAAAGCTCCTCCCACCTGACAGATCTTCACCACTGGGCCGCAGAGCCCCTGTATGTTAATTATTCCTCCTCGTTAGCCCTGGCAAAAATGAGCTGGATTCTTATCCCGCCCTCATGCGCCAGCATCACCAGCAAAATCCCAGTTACAGAGGCTGTGTTACTGGAAGAGGCTTAGGTTGCAAGTGTGGGTCCTAAGAGGTCAGTTTTAGCTTCCCGCTGGAGTCTATAGCCCAGGACGTTAAGGCAGGGAGGGGAAAATAATCTTTCACCTTGCAAACGGATCACCTAACACGAGCCCACGCATGTGCCCACTCCAAGAAAAGGGCAACAAAAACTATTAGAATATGGAACGACTTCCCTATGAGGAAAGATTAGTAAGACTGGGACTTTTCAGCTTGGAAAAGAGACAGCTAAGGGGAGATATGATTGAGGTTTATAAAATCATGACTGGTGTGAAGAAAGTACATCAGGAAGTGTTATTTACTTCTTCTCCTAACACAAGAACAAGGGGTCACCCAATGAAATGAATAGGCAGCAGGTTTAAAACAAACAAAAGGAAGTATTTCTTCACCCAACGCACAGTCAACCTGTGGAACTCCTTGCCAGAGGATGCTGTGAAGGCCAAGACTATGACAGGGTTCAAAAAAGAACTAGATAAATCCATGGAGGTTAGGTCCATCAATGGCTATTAGCCAGGATGGGCAGGGACAGTGTCCCTAGCCTCTGTTTGCCAGAAGCTAGGGATGGATCACTTGATGATTCCGTTCTGTTCACTCCCTCTGGGGCACCTGGCATTGGCCACTGTCGGAAGACAGGATACTGGGCGAGATGGACCTTTTGTTCTGATCCAGTAGGGCTGTTCTTATGTTCAAGGACCAAACACACAGTCATGCTCCTCAGGAGCCCAGGAAAGAAGTGTGGTCTAGTGGTGAGCAATTGGAACTGGGGATCAGGACACCTGGGTTCCACTCCTGTAACTGCTGTGTGCCCTTACTTCCATCTGGCCCATCTGCGTGCCTCTCTTCCTT